TGACCTGTGAGGCTGTGACCAGAGCCCAGAGGGTAGGGTACGGTGGGACTGGGTACCTAATTTGTTGCATAAATAAATTCTTGCCATTCGACATTTATTCCGATTAAATTCCCCATCCAATTCTATCTCATTATTCTTCGTTTATCTTTTCAATAATCAATTTCAGAAATAAGAAAGACCTAGTCCAAAACGAGTAGAAAAATTAGATCTAAAACAAAATCTCTCACATCGCACGCAATGCCTGTGACCGGGCACGGAACGGAAGCTCCACTTCTTCTTCTTCTTCTTCTCCGGGTGTCCACGCTGGGTGGACTTAAAGCCACAGGACAACCGCAAGGATGACCGTTGGGCCTGAGAGCTTCTGCAGGCTCCACTTCTGATTTCTCTCGAGTCAGATTTCTTCTCACAAACTGCGGATCTCGGAACTACAAAATTTATAATAAAGAAGGCTTAACTATGAATAATCATTCAACTATATGGACAGATTTTGTTCCATCATCGTGTAAATGACCTGCATCAGGCAAATCAAAGAACTAAAATAAAATTACTGGGTATTGAATTATATACACACGTAAATCATGAAAAGCCGATCATTCAAAAACAGCTACTTCATATAATTTCACTTTTTCAATTAATTGTTGTGTATTTAACACTTGCAAAAGACTCGTATAACAGCAGTTTCATCGCAGATGGCAAATAAGGCAGCTTACTGGTGTTCCCGATCACAAATAGCTTTGGGCTTGATATAATAATAATAATATTAATAATAATAATGATGATTATAATATTAATAATAACAATAATAATAATAGAGCGCAACTTCCACGATGAGATATTAAAAAACTTCTCTCAGCTCAATTTTTGATAGACTTAGATTAATTATTTTGTGCCGCGGATTCACCGTCGCGTAACCGGTTTGTAAAGAGTGACGTCTAATCTTGCTTGCAATTTCTCTTTATGAAACAAGTTTTGACCAAAACTGGGGATACGCTGCTTGCGCTCGGCCGCTCGCTGAGAAAACGGAGGAAATTCCTGGCCGGAGCGAATACAGTTTTTGCTCTAGGTGCTGTGATTATAACTTCTACTGATTTCGTTTATACGTAACTTTCGTTGATTAAGCAAATGAAGATCATTTCCCCTATTAGACGATTTATTTCTTCCGTGGATAATCTCTATGGATTCTCTTTGGTACTCTGAACTTTAACCACTGGGCCACCCTGCCATCATGATATGCAGTGATGGAGATTAACTTTCACCAAGAAAAACAAAATCTGGGCTGATATACTCCTTCACATTATAAGTTTTGCGCAACAATGAATCGTGATTAAAATATTAAATGAAATTGCATAATTAAAGTTAATAAAAATCAGAGATTCGTGCGTTCACTAATCCCACGCTAAATTAGGCTTCACATTATCGCGGGTTATCAAGAAATATGGAGAAGACTCAATCGGGTATTATCGCATTATCGCTGTTGGGCGGACTTCTGGGGGAGTCGATCGGAGATTTAAACAGCCCGCGGAGCGCGATTGGCCGTAAGAGTGTAAGATGGGTTAGTGAACACTTGAAACAATGAAAACTTATCAAACATTCACAATATAAATACTTAAATAGTGATATTAATAAAAAAATCCTCGTTGCGGGCTTCATCTGTCGTGGCCGATTTCTGGAACGTAACACCCGCGTTAGGTGAGAAAATCCTAAATCTCACGTCAATGGTCATTGTATAATTTTTTCATTCAGTCTTATGGGATCACTTATTTTTGAGTTTCTGCCTGCTTTAACGTGATCTAAAATGTTCCCATTTTTATACAGACATTTCTTTTATCTTAATTTAATAAGCCCTAATTTGCATGCTGACATTCGGTTTCTGAAGGTACAAATTACGCATAGTTTGTAAGAAAAATTCGACAATGTTATCTTTATTTTGAGTATCACTTGAATTCTCTCTTACATAGAATCTGTTACTGAAAACTTTTAGAATAGAATAGAAGTGTCGGCACCGAAGAAATAGGCCCATGGGTTGTTGCCGATTCTTGTACTTTACAACATTAGATGTTCATGAGCATCATTAAAATAGACATTCATGACGACGGCCTCGCTTTCCTAGCCTCATGGACCTTAATAAGATCAACTTTCATGCTTTTGATAATCAAGCAGAGATTGCAAAAAGAATCATAACAATGTCATGCCACCAAAATGTTTAGATTGACATTGGAATATAGAGACGAAAAAATCGTATTTTTATTCAGCGTGATATTTTTTTATAATGATCAAGCCCTATGTTGAGCTACGATCATGTAAGAGCGCTTCCAAGCGTACGGACATGGCACTCAATAAATTTTTTTTTATAAATTCAACCGTAAATGAGGACTTATTTGAGGAAATTTTAGTTGTGAATTAGTTTTCTGCAAAACAAGATGGTCTAACCAGATGCGCTAAGAGAGCAGAGCGTTTCATCTGTCATAAGAACCATTGGAATAGAATAGAAGTGTCGATTCTTAAGAAATAGGCTCATGGCCTGTTGCCGATACTTGAACTTTTAGTGACTTGATTCACTATAAAGGATCCGGCTTTTTGAACAAGATCTTTCCAGAATTGACTATTGTTTGAGATAGCTGCTGGTCTTATTGCCTGGTCCGTAAGATGCTAGGCATTTCAAGACTGAAAATATATTCCTGCATAGTTTTGTCTAGTCTGTTCTTATAATATAATATAGCGGTTTCAGCGTTGATTAGGCCGGAGGCCTGTCGCCGATTCTTAATATCGCAGAACATCCACGGCTTGTTGCGGGCTTGAACTCGCAACTCACTGCTACAATTCTGCTGGGCTTAACCGCCCGGCCTCGATCCTTGCCGATTCTGACCAGAAACTGACGCACAGAGCTGGGATCGAACCCGCACCTCCCTGCTCCAATCATGGTACTCTGAACTTTAAACACTGGTCCACCCTTGAAGGCGTTCATACCCGGAGCGTCAACGATGCTATCATGGAGGCTGTTCCACATGTCGGTGACTCGAAGCGAGAAGAAATGTTGTCGCATGGATGTTTTACAACGCAGTTTTTTAGTTTATAGCCGTGGCCCATGGTGTTGGTTCTTGTTTCAAATTCTAGGACTCCTTCTGGGACCTTGTATAAACCGTGGGTACACATGTATACAGTATACTTCAATGAGGTCACCACATAGACGTCGAAAACAGAGGCTTGGAAGCTTCCTAATCTCTAATCTTTCTTCGTATGACTTGCCCTTCAAGCTTAGAATTATCCTTGTTGTACGTCTTGTTTCACTCCATATTAAATTTTTGTCCATTTCAAGTCTCGGTGGCCACACGGCGTTTCCAAACTCTAGGTTCGGACGCATGATAGCGACAAATAACAGCTTCATTGATTCTGCATCTAGGTACTCATAAGAGCGTCTGATCAGTTCAAGTCGTTTATTGGCTTTATAAACTTGATCTTTGATATGCTTTGAAAATTTCAGCTCATTGTCGACATAAACTCCAAAATCTTTTTCCATTGTCGACTTCGACTCATCACCCACTCGTTACAACCATCCATGTCTTCTCGTACTGTAATCTTGTTGTTCTTTGTTCTTGCCAAGGATGATTACTTTACACTTGTCAGCATTAAAACGCAGCTGCCACGTACTCTCTATCAAATGTTATTCATGACAATAACCAAATAAATAAATGGGTTTGATGTTCACTGAAATTTATTCCCGCTCAATAACTTATGCTAGTGGATATATTTTGAGTTTGTGTATACTTTTGTATATACAAATAAAAAGACCTTGAACGCAGAGCACACGTTGTCTTCGCCATGCCGAGAGAAAGCAGACGCAGAAAACTATAGAGTTATGGATAATAAGGGCCTAATATACTTGGAAGACTCACCATGGGAACCATAAAATGAAACAAAGGAAACATTCGTGAGGAAACATTCGTGAAGGAAACATTCGTTAATGAAACATTCGTAAGGCTTTTTGATAAATTTGTTGAAATATTGTTGATTATAAAATGATTCGCAAGCAGGGCATTTTTGTTTTTAGGATATATCTGTAGCCTGTAGTTTGCTATACATATCAAGCACCTAGATTTGCTAAATTTCTCCAACCAAAGAAAATTAAAAAAATGTAGTGCTGATTTGCAGTGCTTTTTAATAAGCGTTTGCTTTCAATCGTTTGAACGTCGTTTGGATCCCAAAACACTTAGCCATTTACGCTGGGAATGAAATTCGGTAAGTTAAAAAATTCAATAATTATCTGAGATCTATAATTGGCATAAAAGACATACTAATACATCAACTCATGGTTTACCTGATATATAAATTACTTAAACAGGACTTAAGCGTGCTTGACAGTCATATTTTTCGGAGTATCTTGCATACCAGCATGGTTAGCCCAATAATGAACATTTTATACATGATTCCCGGATCACGACTGTTCAAATATTTATATTTCGGAAAATGAACGATAGCTCTTCACTCGCAAACGCAATACGATGAAGATATTTTCATAGTTTTTACTTAATTAACTCGGTGAAATCAAAAAGCGTTTGCCAGCACAAAAACTTCTTCGTTTCGCTAGTCAGTCTTCAGGAAAATTGAAAATAATTGACTTTTTTCACACTGCTATACCCTCACAAATGTGTTAAATTTAATTAAATATATTATGTACCACAAATATGTTACATTTAATTAAAAATGTTATACCCCCTAATATGTTAAATTTAATTAAATATGTTATGCACCACATAAATCTTACATTTATTTAAATATGTTATACACCGCAAATACGTTAAATTTAATTAAATATTTATAAATCACATATATGTTAAATTTTAATTCATATCTGGCGGTCCAGTGTGAATTATATTCTTTTCCTTTTTCCGTGAAGAAAGGTGTTGCAATTGCGCATCTGTTGTAGCCCAGGTATGTTTTGATCCTGATAAGCCGATTTGATTGACTTGGGATTGCCAAAGGATGAGGAAGGCGGGTGGCGAACTACCCGCCGTCGCAGTGCCCCAGCAGACCTGGTAAGGATTAGGTGTGCGTGATCTGCGCTCCAAAGAAAAGATATTAGCACCTCGTGCTGACGTGCTTGAGTTAAAGTACTTTAATAACCACTGCTCCACAAAGTAAGTTATCAAAGATAACTGTTCCATTGAGGCTTGATTAGAAACAATATGGTGCTCGGGATTTGGATTCTATTCTTTAAACTTCTTTTTATTAAAAGTCATGCGTCTCACCTGGAAGCGATGGCGATATACCTAACTCACGTGAATTAGGCTTACTTCTCTCATAATAATTCCAAAGTTCAAGCTCAGTCTACCTCTATGGATTGTTACTAAAGTAACTAAACACATGTGAGGGCCTGCATGCTAGGGTTGAAGAATCAGGTTGCACCTTGCACAATAAAAGACAGTGCTAAATGAAGCCACGCTGCCGCAAAGATGCAGTCAATGCAGCTGGCGAGACTGGAACTTGCAGTTCTCGAGCGCCTGAACAAGCCCACGTTTGACTGCTCACCGTCAACTCGCCTAATTAATTCAAATGCCCACAAGAAAGTGAGCATAAAACATTGTATGAATCTGTCAACTTGATCTGTGGAGCATTAAAAACTTCCTTGGGTTAAATTATTTTTTAGAAAGGTAAGATTAACGGCCTCGAACACTAAAAGACTTGACGGTAGGGGTAGAATATTAATCCAGGCGAAGTGTAGTTACCACGATCATTTTCGACCTTAAGTTTGTTCTATGGACGTGAAAAAAAAGTTCGTCAAAGTTCGATTTTCCTACCTCGCTCAAACTTAGAATAATGTCTGATTAAAGTATTTGGATAATTTTAACAGCCATACACTGTGCTTGAAGGCATGAATAAAGGTCAGTCACCTGTAGTGGCTCTGAAACTTCCTCGAGTCATTCTCCATGCGAACTTTAAAACATTCACTCCCCACCTCCTTACATTGCAACAAATATATACTTAATATATGTGTGTAAAATGTAATACATAAATAATATAGGTATTACATTTCAACTTTAATAATGAAACGTATCCTATCGGTCTATCACAATAATACTGCTAAAGAATAATCAAAACAACTAGTACACGCAATTGCTGTCTGAGGGATGAGTACAAAATACATGGAGAACATGTATGGAATGTGGGAAAAATTCGTGCAAGTCTTCGATGAATGACGAACTATGTATTAAAATTGCATGAAAATGTATTTCGGATGTCAGAGTGATGTATTACGGAAGCTTAAATCATTCAAACGATGTCCAATTAGCCCATTAATAATTATAAGTGAATTTTTGTATGCATATTTTAAGAAAAACAAATTTAAAAACAGTTCATGAACTTGAATGCGTTCGCTCACCTCTTGTAAGGCCCAGTGGTGCGCGTACCATTAGTCGAAGAGCTGAAAAATCATGATAACGTTCCTGAAACCACACAGGTAACCTACAGGCAGGATATGACAAATTTTATATGGTTCTACGTAAAGAAATTTGTATTCCGTGCACCGATCTATTTATCTCATGCGTAGATTATTACAGCTGAAGCTATACAAGGTGCCGAACTTCTATTCTGTTATGTTAAGTGTGAATGTATCATTTGTGTCCGACTCTATTAAAAAGAATTCTTGAAGATAAATTGGTAATGTGCTAAAATGTAATTGGCCACACAACTATGGCTTATGAACAAATTATTAAGGCATTTCCGAATAATTGAAAAGGCGAAAGCAGAACAGAATTTAATACCTGAGTCGTATTTCGAGTGCACAGTGAGAATATAATATTGTGATGTAATGGGTTGTAAGAACAACCCATTTATTGTTCTTCATCCATTCCTATATCGCTACTCTACCATTACTATCACTATCAGTACCATGTACAATTGATTGTAAAATTTTAAAAAGTGTATGTGAGTTAGGGGAAGACTTAACCTACATTCGTTTCAAAACTATTAACTGGGATTACATTGACGGGATCCGGTTGACAGTATTTGGATGAAGAAATCCATGTTATTGGGATTCGGGATAGCAGTAGGGATAATGGTGATAACTGGACTGGGTGAAGACGAAGAATTTAGACGCATCTCGTGCAAGGGTCGTACATATCCGTACTAATATACGATGATGTTATAAATATGTTAATGGAGTACGACTGGGTGCAGATGCTGATAACGTTGCTGTTGGTGATGGTGCTGAGGCAGGAGGCTGTGCTGGGTGCTGTCATCATCACCGCTGGTCCAGACCCCGCCGGCCGTGCTGAGGTGAAGTTAACATTATTTGATATGTGCGCTCTAATTTTGATATTAATGTCTGAAGCTTGAGCCGCCACTTGCATTTACTGCACCTAAGTCGCCGCTCGTCAATAAAACCGTGATATTCTGGTTAGAACTACGATTTGAATGGTTCGATTACAACATAATAACTAGTTTAACTACGAATAGTAGCGCTCCCGATTTAAAGTTGTAGTTCAGTTATATTTGGAAAATAAATTGTTTCGATTCAAGACCGCTGGCATAAGTGTTGCTGCGACTCAAGTTCCATTACTTTTATTTCGTTCAATGTACTTCTTGATGAATCGACTGCACCCAATAAAGATCTGTTCAACTGATTAAAAAAAGTCACCATGCAATTCTATTTCGATGCTGCTACCAAAATGCGGACGATAAAGCCGACGAGGGTTGCGGACGAGGGTTGGTAGTCAGCGCTGCGCTCAAGACGCGGACTGTCAGTAATTTCGCCTCCCGCTGGTATGGCGTTATTGAACTCAGAAGGAATTCGGGAATCAGTGGCAAATATGTTTCAGCTGCCTCTGAATTAAAATTCAATTTAATTAGGTTGAAAGGTCTTCATAAATGAGGTTTTTTTTGGTGAGCAGTAAATGCACATGGGACTTGTGAACATTTATTATTTCATTTAGAATAGAATAGAAGTGTCGGCACTGGAGAAATAGGCCCATGGCCTGTTGCCGATTCTTGAATTTTTCGTGACTTGATTCACAAGGGATCCGGCCTTTGGAACCCGATCTTTCCATAACTGACGATTGATTGAGATAGCTGCTGGACTTATTGCCTGGTCCGTAATTTGCTAGGCATTTTAAGATGAACCCGATCTTTCCATAACTGACGATTGATTGAGATAGCTGCTGGACTTATTGCCTGGTCCGTAATTTGCTAGGCATTTTAAGACTGAACATATGCTCCTGCATAGCTTCGTCTGGACTTATTGCCTGGTCCGTAATTTGCTAGGCATTTTAAGACTGAACATATGCTCCTGCATAGCTTCGTCTAGTCTGTTCTTGAAGATGTTCATACTCGGAGCGTCAACGATGCTATCAGCAGGGAGGATGTTCCACATGTCGGTGACTCGAAGCGAGAAGTAATGTTGTCGCATGGATGTGTTCCAACGCTGTTTTTTTAGTTTATAGCCGTGGCCCCTGGTGTTGGTTCTTGTTTCAAATTCTAATAATTCTTCTGGGACCTTGTATAAGCCATGAGTATACTTGTATGCTTCAATGAGTTCCCCACGCAGACGTCGATAACTGAGGCTTGGAAGCTTCATAATCTTTAATTTTAAATGAAATCTTATTTAATCTTTAATTTAATTTAATTTAAAATTCATGCAAGATGATGCATCGAATCGAAAAGAATGTGCATGTTTGGTTGTGAGAATAATTGATCAGACAGGGATCACACTCGCGATAAGCAGGTGAAAGGAACAGTTAATACGTGTGCTCTTGATCGATCGGCAATCGAGATGTCGATAAACTGCGAACACTGCAGCCTATATACCATGGGCAGCGTGTGACTGCTGCGCATTGCTCATGCTACATGTTTAGCACGCGCATCAAGAGGCTTGGTTCATATAAATAAAATGTTAAAAAGCTCCAACGTTTTCATTTGAAAATATTTGTTTACTACGTCAAACTTGATCAAATTCGTGTGATACATGGTAGCGCTTAGATTTTATAGGTCGAAATTAACTGGAGCATCACAAACATTTTGTATATATGACACATGTTGTATATATGACACCAGCCACATGTTCAGTAGCCAATGATCGGCCGACATGAAGCCGGCGACGATTTATTGAAGCGATATTCTCGACCATGATTTCTGCTCTGTTGTTTGTTGACAAGAAGTTTCACCAGGCTTTAATTTATATTAATTCGAACGGATCGTATTGTCCTTAAGTTAAGTTCAAATTATAATATTTAGGCTTATTAGTATTAAGTTCGACACGATGAGTTACTTGAGAGGCTCGGCGTGGCCAGAGCGAACTTGCTTATAGTAGGGCTAGATACTGAAGACAACAGCCAGTTTTTTCTTGCCCGAATATTTTAATATTTTCTTATGAATTGAGTTCAAGACTTGTGGGGCCGAAGGGCCACCCAGCCTGATATTTTGCACAGTATCTTATCACAAGATACGCAGAATGTGTATTGTTGTTCGTAAATTTGGCCCATTATAAAAGAGTCATTTTTGAGGTGAAATAAATCAAACTTGTTCTCTTCTTATGTACTTTTTAACACGTTTTTCTTAGCTTAGCTTCGCGTTTATTTGTTTGTTTGTTGTTAAGGTTGACAACGAAAATTAGCACACTTCTGATTGCTCTAGAGATCTGAAATTCGGCATGCAGGCTATTTTCACCTAACAATTTCAGATACAATCATAAAAACTAGCAATTAGAGACCTAAATTAGCTTAATTGAGTAAAGTATATATATATATATATATAGTATGTATATATATATAGTATGACGTGCGGGCGCTGACGCTGCGTATCATCGATACGTACGTCAAGTCAAGTAAATTGGCTCGCAACAACGTTTTTCATGTGTAGCAACGGACTAAAAAGGAGAAAATAAAATACTTAAAAAAAACTTTTTAAAAAACCACGTTTTTCTTGTGGATTAAAAGTTGAAAATAAATTGTGGGTCGCCCCAAAAAACGTGGGTCGGGCTGTACGTTCACCATCAAATTTTCAAAATTCGTGTGTTGTGTGCTTGTCGCTTTAATCATAAATCTGCCCGACACACGTTTTTTGGGGCGACCCACAATTTATTTTCAACTTTTAATCCACAAGAAAAACGTGGTTTTTTAAAAAGTTTTTTTTAAGTATTTTATTTGTACTCTTTTTGTATTTCATTCACGTGACATGCCTCTCAATTATAATGCTTTGTATTGATAATACCATTTAATGATAGTGCCTTTAGAAGATAATATTATTTAATGATACATTTTTACTTTAATGCCTATTGAATATAACGCCTATTCAAGATATGTTTTTTCCGTCAGGTTCAAAGCATGATAAGCAACTCGGAGCAGCGATCGTGGTGCCGCCCTGGACAAATTAGACAGATCATCACACACGCAAACTGCGAGAGTAAAGTAAGCTGCCGTGCTTTTCAAAATTAATATAAAGATCATATCATATGGACATATGATATGAAATAAGGATCATATAGGATCTGATAATGCGGTTGTAACAAAACTGTCACCTATAAAACAATATTCGTCACTCCTATAAGTTATTATGCTAGTAATATAGGTTCATATAGGACTATAGGTTATAATACTGGTAACTTAGAGCAAAAATGTCTTCACTTTATTTCAGCTTATATTTCGGAACATTATCAAGATTCCATTGTCAGGCTCGGCACTATTTTAACTCTATAAATATCATGATGATCATTGGTGTTACTGCTTGACTAGGCAACAAGTGCTAGGAAGTGAATAACCAAGTATGCCGCCACCTTATACAGAGACTACCGGATATCCTACTGGACTTAATTAACATCTCTACGTAATCTTCAAATGCTTCTGAATTGTTCTTTTTGGCGTTCAGTCAGTTGCGGTTCTTATGCACCTCATGAGGAAATGGTTAACTGATCCGAGATGATCGGTAATAACACGAATGTTAACAATGATGCGTTCCAAGTTCTATCGACGTGGAGATATTCTCTCTTATGATTAGATTACATTCTGATATTATGATTAGATTACATAATTTATTTCCCAGTCAATCACCAATGTGGGCAACGATGTCGATTAGTGTGGGTTACTGCATATCGCGGGTGATCCGACCACTCGAAGATTTAGAAGTCGAATTTCCTTGAATAATCTATGCAGATGCATGGCGAACTATCGACTGTGGGTTTATCGTTGCAGATCGAAGTATCTGAGTGTGGGCAAACGATCTTCGCCGAATCTGCATAGAAAATTCCTCAATAATCGTCGTTGCGCCCCGCGACATTGCCCTCTCCGTTGCCCACTCCAAATGGGGATTTGCCCTCGTCGATCGAGCAAGAATCTGCATTAATTTCTTCATCGATCCGCCCTAATCTTCATCGTTCGATCAAGACCTGATTGACTGGGTTGTTAGTTTTAAGCAGCAAACAACTTTTTCGTCTTGCTGCATAATTTCGCGAAGTTACTTTATTTTGTCCCTAGTGTAGTTATAATAATTATTGTCTCCAGTGTAGTTATAATTGTTCCCGGTGTAGTTATAATTGTTCCTAGCGTTGTTACAATTGTACGTAATCATAAATTTCAAGATAATAAGGCAGTGGTTAAAAAAATAATATAGGTAATAAGAAGTTTAAATATATGACGTGCCCCTGGATGGCTGTTCAGGAGGTGGAGAACCAAGTGTGCGCGGGCTCCTGCTTCAGCTACTCGCTGCCTCAGACTGTGCCGCTCATCCCGGGCGACGAGGACCTGGACTTCTGCGAGTCCTGCCGCCCCTCGCAGAGCCATTGGATCAACGTGAGCCTCTAATTAGTTAACTAGACTATCTTAAAGAAACAATCAATAGTAATGTACAATAACGTAACAATTGTGTTTGTAATAGCCAGGTCTATTTTCCTGATTTTTGCGTGCAAGTTTGAAATTTTGCGCTTGTATGATGTACCAAAAATCTGACAATATTGAGGAAAAGAAAGATTGAACCTCAAAATTATATAATAAGGAGACCAAGTAACTCCGTTCATAAATTTCGAATCCAGTTTATTTGACTAACATAAAAAATCTACTGAGTATGTCTGCCGCAGATCACTCTTGAATGCACTGACGAGGACGACGGATTTTACGAGGTCAGCAAACGCGTCCAGCAGATCACGAACTGCTCGTGTTCCTCGTGCTTTGGTGCTCGTTCGCACGCCCCCACTCTGAGGCCTGAGAGTTCCTCCGCTGAGGACAGTCGCATCTCCGACCTTCTGTCCCGCGCCCTCCCCATACCTGACGCCGCCGAGCCCACGCACAAGCTAGAAACGGTCTTAAGTGGCAGCCCTGCCGCTGCTGCCACGCCTGCTGCTTCTTTAACACCGACGACAGCTCTTACTTCATCAGCTGTTAGTACCACAACCTCGACGGCCTCGCCATCGTCTGCCAGCGCCTCGACGACGACAGGGAGTCCATCCACTACGAATCGTCCTCTGAACGCAATGTTGATGCAAGAAGTCGTACCACTCACTCTGGACCACAGCTCGCATTACGATTTCCCGGGTCCCTACGTTCTACAGGAAGAGATAGTACAGCATGCAGAGGATGAGAGCAACCCTAACGTTCTGAGGCTTGGAGACTTGTCAGAAGTGCAGGATGCGGACAGCGTTGGGGATGAAGTGAGTCTCACAAGTCTCATGGGTGACTTGAACGCACTCCTCAAAGGGGAAGGGCCCGTGCAATATCAGGAACTGACCATCAATCAGCTGAAGGCTGTGGTTAACAACTTAAAGTCTAATCCTGCACGGCTCTTACGAGACAATACCGTTTACTCTGCGTTACCAATGCAAATCGATAAGATCAAATAGATGAATTAACAGATCTGCAAAATGAATCAAAGTTTTTGCCTGTAAGCCTATTTAATTTCTCTTTTAAAGCTCCTCTGCATTAATCTTGTACTTTGCTTTCCAATTTGAAAAATAGAGAGTTGCTGTGCGGGGCGGAAATTCCCCTTGAACCTTGGAAATGACAGAAATTCTCCTTCAACCTTCCTCATCATATTTATGTGCAGGGATAAAACAATCTCAGAGGGCAACTAAACAAAAAACTATTTTATAATAGGGATGCGTGGTGATGGTATGGGCGGGTGTGAATGATGTCAAATCGTAACGATGATGCACAATCATTAACGCTGCAATGCCCGCTCATGCATGCCTGCATGGTATAATAAGGTGCTTGTATAGTGATGCTCAACTGAAAAATATTACTGTTTGATAATATTGAAGTATGATATTTGTATTATCTCAGTCAATCAAATGTAATTTTTATAGGAGTTTTTCTACAACCACATTTATGAGATGTAATTTTACTTTTCTTGTGCAACATTTTTTCCAAGTCAGAATTTCCGCAGTTGGCTGTCTATTAGCCATATTATTATTAATAATGATAAGAACTTGGAACTTGTAAAATTAAAACTATTCAATGAGCGCAAGTGTTTATTTTCCAAACGAACAATATAATCATATTGCATCCAGGTATCTAATCATCTCAATGGTAAATTTTTCAGTTTTGAAGAATCAGAGCGTATTGATATAGTTGTTTGATTATCAAATAATTAGAATTTCTATTGTCGCATTTTTGTGAATATAATTAACATTTTCAAATGCTAAGCCACACAAAAGTTTATCATTATTTTGACGCATTGTAGCCAGAAATTTTCAGTGTCCTGTCATAAACTCCCATGTAACAGACGTTGGTGTTTTGTTTAAATGTAGAGAATGTAATTTTTGTCCTTTATCCGCATTAGTACCACCGATAATTCTTTGATATTTGTGGACGGAAGTAAAAAGGCCCGTGAGTGCCGCCAGGGTAGACAGTAGACTTGAACGCCCGGGCGTTGAGGGCCTTCAGAAGACGGTTTACGTTGTTCCAAGCTTCTTCCTGAGCCGCAGCCACGGCTCCACCCCCGTCAGGCAGCGAGTCGGACTGCAGGGCGTCGGTGATGATGCTGCCTGATGGGTCGCTGTCGGCAGCTGTTTCCCCTTCGTCTGCTCCAGATCTGCGAATTATGTAGAGTTATGCAACGCCCAGTGCAGCTCTCGGAAAGCAGTGACAGTCAGACCCATAGAGATGGAAAAAGTAGACGTAAGTTTCGATCGCTCGATTGATACGAGTTTTCTAGAGGCCTGTCTACTGATTGAAAGCTGACACTAAACCGTCCACTGTATATGGGGAACTGACAGCATACGTGATGCGCTTACCAAGATTTTGAAACGCCGTCTCTGCTCAAAAGCCAGAAGTTTTAATTTTACTCTATTGAAGTCAGCAAGATGTTACAAAGACCCGGCATACTCGTACGTCGGCGCGGCTTTTTAACGCATTTTCTCATTTATGGAGAAAAGGCGCTATTGTGCTCGTCATGTCCGTCTGTCCGTCCGTGACTTCACGTTTTCCTCTACCAGAAAATGCGCTCTCTGTCACTCACTGCAGTGAGTACTGAGTTATATTTTTTTTCAAAGTCTGACCCGCTGCGTCGCCGGCGCTGGAAGTTGAAGCAGCACGCCCTGAAGTGACGCGTTCCGCACGCCTCCTGACATTCGCTGCCGCACGAACTGCATGACAGACCGCCGTTGCTGTCAGCCCGCGTCAGCGCCAAGAGGACACATGCCAGCGTCACCACACCTGCAATGAGTTTCCGTACCAACAAACTTAAGTGATGCTTCTGAGAAATCAGATCAAGTCGAAATGTCAGCTATTTCAGCGCCAAAGAACGTGGACTTATAGTTTACAGTTATTTTTGTACACATTAATGAAGAGAACTTCACCTGCAATGTCCAGAGACTGAAATTTTTAAAGATTCTGATGTGTAAGTAATTAATCTTGAATGAACTAGAAAATAAAAGTTTTTTATAATGAAACAAGTAAAAGCCGGATCCCTTGTGAGCGAAGTCACGAAAAGTACAAGAATCGGCAACAGGCCATGGCATGGGCCAATTTCTTTAGTGCCGCCACTTCTCTTCTATTCTAAAACATTTGAAGACAGAAAATTCGAAATAAAGATTATGAGGAGCTGCGCCTGATACCTCGTAGAAGAACGTGAAGTTTGACGTTACAGACGTCATGCGTGCTGAGGGTAACACGAATATTAAATATTACAAGTAATAGAAGAAACTTAAACGGCCTATTGGATGTGCAGAGAGCGCCATAATAATTTTCGAAAATATAACCCGCCAGTATTTTTACGATATATGGAAAGAACTAACGACCAAAATAACTGCACAAATAAATAGTTGTGAAACGCTTACTTACAGCTTAATAGAATAAACGGTAAATAGTAGAAGAGCATGCAAGTGGTAACCAAAGTTAGTAATATCTTTTTGAAACTGCACGCCGTTGCTTAGCAATTGCTTATAAATGATTAAGAAGCCATTTAATGACATAAAATATACGTACAGATTTCAAAGCTGGCAGAATAAATAAAAGGATTTTGAAGAACATCACACATGCTAAAATACAGGGATATTTGCAGAAATTAAGAAAAAGCCTTTGAGGAACATGAAATATGCTTACAGACTGCGATGTTTGTTCGCATGTTCAGCTCGTTAGATAGTGCGAGAGCTCTAGGTGCTCCGGGGCCGTTGTCGTCTACAACGAAACTGTCGTCTTAAGAAGCTTGTCCCTTGCTTTTATTGGGCACTCGTTTGTCGTTGGGGAGGTGAGCAGGTCAAAAATAAAACTTCGAGGAATCCAATTCCTGAACGATAAAATCAAAGAAGCAGCTGAGCAATAAGAACAATTGTTTTGGCTGCCTCGGCGCCTCGAAAGTTTTCTAGCCGCCGTATTCTAATGCATACTGATTGTGTGTCAAGGATTGATTGTTCCAGCTGCCTTCCTAAAAATAGCCACGATAATATCGTCTTGGCTGTAACGCAGAAGCAATATAAATCATTTTGACGTTATTTTGTTGAATTTATTGTTAATAATTAATTAATATCATTCATTCAGCGACGTTTCGAATTTGCCTAAATTGTGCAAATGTTTTTGCTTGTAACTTCTACTCGTCGTTCAATTAAATCCTGTGAAATATTTGTTTAACTCGATGAATGCTGACACCAATTGATGTTTTGGCTAGATGAAATATGTTTTACGAGTTTTTGATGATTTCATTATCCATGACATGCATTGTTGATACGCTATTCTGACCGTCTAACCACTACTAGCGACTCCAGCTAACGTTTTGTAACTTCCTAGGGTTTTTCCACGTATTCGACATATTTAATAATCTTAAAAATTTTCAAAACTCCATTCAATTCCGATTGCCGTATTCAAGTTCCATTCATCTGTTCGCTTTCAAATAATTGTGATTTTCTAACAGCCCAATAATAAAACTTTGCAAGCATTTTTATGATATTAGTAAGTTGGCATATGATGAAATTTAGCAGGTGTGGTATGCCTCACTTACTATTACTATATACCTCTCAGACTATTCCAACATCTTGAACATATCGGTGTAATAAAGTAATTCCAATAAATGTCTATTAACTTTGTACAATAACATATTGCAAAAATATCATCAGCTCCTCATTTTCACTCATGCTCGAGGGGAAACTACCCGCTGAAAATGCATGAGGGGAGAAGTTCAACTGAACGTGCTTGAGGAAATATTACTTGTTCAACATACATGCAGAACAATTGCTGTTGAATATGCTTGAATGAAAAATACAAGCTAACTTTCTTGTTGGAATTATACAAATTTAAAATGCATACAGAACAGTTACTGTTGATAATGCTTGTGGGAAAAAATACCAGCTGAGCATGCTTAGGAACAACATCCGATGATTATGCTTTTCAAAAAAGGCCACAGAACTTGTTTTAGAGAAATATACTCGGTGAAATTTCTCGAGAACCAATTTCTGCTGAAGACTTTTGGACTAATTTGGACATTCCTCAAGTATTTCATTTCGCCTGCCCCTCGCAAAGTCAAGGCACTAATATCAATTATGGGGCTACGCAGCTCCCAATGATTTGTGATTGACTCAGGAATTTTGTATTGGATCGTCTGTTTGAGGTCGCTGTGACCTGTGCAAATTAAATTAATACGAGCTAAAAATTGTACGCAATTCATAGATATCTTGAATGAAGTGCTGTTCACTGTTAATAATTCACTCTATTGCAATAACTAACATTAAAAAAAAACAAATTATACTTTATTGAAAGAGTTAGTATCATTTTTTACACGTTCCTTCTGAATTGAAAATGTATTCCAATAATTATTCTCAACTTTTTCTAGCTACTCAACGAACCATTGCCAATTACAACTTCTGATAAATTTCACTTTTCGCTCAAGTTCTTCCCAACTTGTTCCAGATTTTTTATTATATTATTATTATTTTTTTTGCGGCGGCAAGTTTTGAGCAAACACTGGTGATGCATGGAGCTTTGAATGTAAGGAAAAACTTTTTACATCTACATCCAATGGAATAAATCGCTCAAACTACGCATGAAAGAAGATACATGAATAGTTTTGCAATCTTTTCTGAAAACTTATGTATGGAAGCTTTCCCCTTATTTTAATCTTAATTTTAGGAATTGCTTATGATTATTTTGGTTACTAAAATTCAGAAAATTAAAAAAATTAATGAAAAAAAAACACCAAAATATCTTCGTGTTCGGCCAAGCAATGATATATTACACAACTTTGCTTTTTCAGAAAGCTTTTAGCCGACATATCACGTCCATTTAGGACAATCCATAGAAAACTTATTCAGAGGGGATGAAATAGGGGAAAATAATAGCTGTGAATGACAAGTTGCAGATTTTAACCGCTCATTTTGGCCAAGCATTGACAACCACTCCATCTCACAGCGTGTTTGTAAGCTCATAAGCTCGAAGCCTTTTTATTGCATTATTCATCTGTTATCTTTCATATAAATTGCGATGACATGGTCACAAAAACAACGATCCTGGGTGATTCCTGAAAATAAAACTGATTAAAAAACGAGCTTAATTGGGACTGAAATATCACATCCACTTGTGAACAAAATGCTACATCTGCACCTTGACTGTCCGTTGCATCAGTCGTGGACGCCTGTAACGTCGAAACCATGGTTGAATTTAATACTGTATTAATTCAACCATGCGTCGAAACCAACGTCTCAACCGACCGTATCCTCATTCATCTTTATCCCTGTCGGTTTCTGCTAACAGTCACGAGGTTCGGCTTCTGAGCAACGATTAGGAGATGGGGTTCAAACGTTTCATATAATAATAGCGGTTTTAGCGTTTATTAGGACGTAAGCCTGTCGCTGATTCATAACATCGCAGAAAATTCACAGCATATTGCTGTCTCAAATACGCAACTATAACTGCTCGAATTTTGTTTTGCTTAATAATTAACCGCCCGGCCTGATCGCCGATTCTCATGGTTGAACTAACACATGGATGACCCACGCGTAGCTGCGCCTTGCGGATGTCATTTGTTATTCCACTCGTGATGTCACCTTGGTCGTTGTGACGTCACCTTGTGACGTCACCGTATGATTCAAACTGATTTGTAACACCTGTTTTACATAAAATAAGACTAGTTGCAGTAAATAATTTATTTTGGGCCATTTTAATAAGGCCAATTTCTATCATAACATAACATAGTGATGTCGGCGCTGAAGTGTAGGCCTGATGTGGCCTGTCGCCGATTCTTTTCCTTTTCGTGCCTTGTTCATAGATCTAAACTCGTGTCATTTGAGCGGATCTTTTCATGACTGGCGATAGTTTGAAGTAGATACTAGACTTCCACCGGGTTCGATAAGGAGCTAGGCATTTCAAATCTGAACATATATTTTTCCATAGCTTTATCTAGTCTGTTCTTGAACGCGTTCATACTTGGAGCGCCAACGATGTCATCGGGGAGGCTGTTCCACATGTCGGTGATTCGAAGCGAGAAGAAATTTTGTCGCGTGGAGAAGTTGCAGCGCAATTTTTTTAGCTTATAGCCGTGGCCCCTGGTGTTGGTTCTTGTTTCAAATTCTAGTAACCCTTCAGGGACCTTGTATAGACCATGAGTATACTTGTATACTTCAATGAGGTCCCCACGCATCATGGTTGAACTAATACAAGGGTTTCCCTAGTACATCTGCGCCTTGCGGATGTCATTTGTTATTCCAACTGTGACGTCACCTTGGCTCATGTGACGTCACCTCATGACATCAAACTGATTTGTAACACCAGTTTTGTTTAAAATAAAACTAGTTGCATGCAGTAAATAAATTTTATTGCGCCATTTTGATGGGGTCAATTTCCTTTAAATGCTTTCAAAGATGACATATAAACAATGTGTTTATCTCCACTATTTACATTTTGTGCCCACAGTGACGTCACTCTAGAGATGTGCAGAACGGTGAAAAATCTTCATCGCCGTAGGTCAGCCTTTTATTAGTTCAACCATGGCCGATTCTGAGCTGGGATCGAACTCGCACCTTTCGCAAGCTCTCTGCTCCGATCCGGGTGGATAGCTAGAGGTCAGCATAGCCCAAGTCCACAGTGCTATTCATATACCTTCCCGAGCATAACGCAGCCGGGCATCTTCACGGCTTTTGACACAAAGCGCCCACCACAACAGCGCCGTTCAGTCACAGGCCGGAGCGCATACAGGCCGGAGCCCAACTGGCCGAAGCGTAGCAGGCCCTATCGCAACAGCTACTCCTAACGTAACCTAACCTAACCTGCGCCGCCTGTTGTGGTAGGGCCTGTTGCGCTCTGGCCAGTTGGGCTCCGGCTCTGTGAAGCAGTGGCTGTGTTGTGCAAAGTGGATTTACTGTTAGCCGGAGTTACCCACAGCTCATTAATCTGAGGCTATGTGTAGATATTGCATGCTGATGTTTGGCGTTGGGCCCAGGGCCTGTTTACGAGTCAATTTTGTTACCCACGGCTGCGCTCCCCTCCGATCCTAGTACCCAGATGTGTAGCCACTGGACCACCCCACGACACGCCCTGGTATCCGAAGACCGAAGCCTTCATATGGCATATGCGTCATTTGAGACACTTATTTTTTTTCTTTGGATGAAATAAGTATTCCATATCTGATATCACTTATCGAAATAAATGATCTAATGAACACTTCGGACAGAATTAAAACCTATAGCGTTTCTACCAGAGTAACATAACGGTGTGTCTGATGATGTGGTATAGTGCATTTGTTTTTGATCACAAACAAAAGTGTGCAGTTTCGATTCGACCATGGATGTGGGTGTAGCCGTATAGCGGCCGGAGCCTTCCGTATCTGTCCCGTGCCGCGTCACGCGTGTAGGTAGGTATATGCTGTTTGCTATACGCCTATACCAAACCGTAAAGCGAAATTTGATTATCATTCCAGATGAATCGAGTCTTCTCACAAATCTAATCAGCAATCACTTCGAAAATAATCCGTAATTCCAAAGCCTGAAGCGTTTCATTTGGAAAATCAAGAAACATCCATGTCTGATATCAAATTCCCCAGCCCCAGACAGTCTACCGCCCGCCCGGCGCCACCGAAGTCCGAGCTCGGTAACTACAAATCTTGAAATCTACAACTACAAGGATGTTCAAGCCTTCAAGGAAAATTTGACGACATAAAAACTTGTTTTTCAGCGGCCCCAAAAAACTGCCTCATCATATCCGCCAAACTCAAAAGACAAAAAAAAAAAAATATACAACTTATACAAGAACCAAACTCCAAAGCAAAAGCATCACCACCATAACACCAAGCAATAACTATAAGCATAAGCCATAAAGCATTAAGCTAAGCAATTGATTACACTGGAAATAACGGGAATTTAGCCGTGCAGGCGTGCACTGGGACTGGCGCAGCACTGCCAAATTTGTGTACCAATTAGGCTTAATCAGCCCTGAATTTGAAAGGAATGCCTAGCATATTTTCAGATGACCACCAATCAAAGTGGCAAACTATCAATTTTTTAGAATCAGTTCATTTTAAATTTCCTCATTTATTTGAGATTTGAACCAATATCTTATGTATGATGATGCTGGTATCCATAATACTTTGCTGGTCTACTTATAGGACTCAAATTGAACTTGAAGGAGTCTAAAAAACTCTCTGCTTTGCCACTATGTACACCAATCAACCGCATATTAACTCTGCGTCCGGCCATCAGTAACCAGCCCATGAGGGCGATGAGGCCATGACTGTCAATTGTCATGAGTCATGACATCATCTTGTTTAAAATATTAGGAGCTTTATGCCACCTGCCACCATAATGACGGTAAATGACCTGGGACCATATTCTGAAGCAAATAGCCCAGAGAGTAATGGTTGTCCACCTCTGAATGTTGGCACTTGGCATCAAATCATCATTTCATACCCTGACTTCAGCTCAAATTGTAAGTTGTAACTAGTGGACAACGTTCTGCAACCAACCACGCAACCAGCCCAGCTTGCCAGTGGAACTGCATGCAATGCCATCATTGCCATGCATCCTGCTGTGCATCACCAGACGGTCACTAGTGACTAGTGACTAGAGGGCTATTAAATTAACCAGTACACATAGCATATTGGAAAGCAGGACCTGAAAGTTTGGAAAGGCCAGGAACTTTACACTTTCAGTCAATTCCAGCTGTGATTGATTGATAAGATTGTGATTTTAGCCCCTTTCAGCTTTCCAGCTGTGATTGGTTAATGGAATTGTAATGTTATTTACTTATTTTGCTTTCTAGCTGTGATTGGTTGATGGGGATGCTTTCAAGCTGTAATTGGTTGATGGGGATGCTTTCAAGCTGTGATTGGTTGTGTCCTAGTATGGAATATATCTACTTGGCAAGCCGCGACTGAATTTTTCGAGCAGTGGTTTTATGGATTTGCCAGCCGTGATTCCATTTCTACGAGCCGTGATGCTATTTCACCAAGCCGTGAATTCCATATCTCGGCCATGAAAAGCCATTTACGAGGTGCGAATGCGAATTTATTTACAAAGTTTATGCACGTGTTACACTTATGATCCATTTTTACATTTATAGTCAGTAACAGAGCAGAGCACTGTATCAAAGGAAAGCTTTTCACCTTGGGTGGAAAGCTTTTTTATAAGTGAACTTCCATTCTTAGAATTCCAGCCTGGTCACTACTCACTATTAGGCATAGCTCAGTAAGCTCACAACATCCAGGGTTAGGTTTCAGAAAGCATAGTTTTGTTCCAAAATCTATTGTACCTTGACAAGCAACTTCTGAGTTCTGCAGCTTTGCTAAATTACATAACTTTTTGCTCACAGCATTTGGGATTAAAATTTTTTCACGTGTTGGCAGACGATGCTAGGCCATTCTATGTCAGGCTACTTTCCTGTGGGCTGATTGATCTAATTCAATGGATGTGATCTGTCTGGTGACTGGTGGCTTGTGGCTGATAATATTAAAGTCAAAAAGTGTTATAGCTTATAGGCTACCTTCTGGAGGGAAGAAATCATGATACTTCATTCAATGCACAGCAGTGGCGGACTGGTGGTCTCTGTCCTCTGACAGGCCGCAGGCGTCTTATAATAACTCCAAAGGCAAAACAACCCTGGCAATATCTGAAAAAAAATGCCAGGCAAATTGTGATCAAATAGCCTTCAGCTTTGTGCTTTGAGAGTCTCTAAATCCATCGACTCAAATCCGGCAGGAGCTGAGGAGTTATACCATCAAATTATTCAAGTACGATGAACTTGTGGAGTACCAGCAGCCAGCTCATCAAAATTCAACCTAAATGTCAATAAAAATTATGGATCCAAATGAAAGACCCACTGATAAAAAAACCCGCCCACAGCCAAATCCAAAAGCTACAGAAACAGCAAGTTCATGTCCCAGGTTTCATAATCAATTAATCATGATCTTTGATCAGGTACACAAGTTGTTACAGTCATAAGTCAAAATTACAGTCATAAGTTGTTGGCTTTCTTCAGTTGTTTAGTAACTTAACAATGAAAATACTAGTCCTGAATGAGGAAATAACATTTTGTCCATGTACATTTACTACATTGGATTGTTTATATGCAACAGACCAGCCAAAGGATAAAGCATTAATGGTTTAATTTTTTCAAACCAGCTGTGCCTTCTTTACTCTTGAACTGACCTCTTCTCTAATCCGTAAATATTGTGCATAATCAAATGCAACCATAAGCATAAATCATCCCCAAATTATTCATCCCAGAATAAACTTCAACACATGAAATGGTCTAAAAATAAAAATAATAATTAGTACCTATTATAAAGTGATGTTACTTGCTATTTTTTTCAAATTTGCAGTGTATATGTAGATGTCCTGCCACAGTCCTGGCATTGTCTACTGATGTCTAGAACAAGAAATTTCAAAAGAGTATTAAGATTCATATGCAGCACACTGGAAAATAGAACAGGTTTATTATATTTATGGTATTTAATTTTACAATACTGCTTGCAAGGAGAAAAACAACTGCAATGCATTATTATTAAAATAATTTAAATTAACCAACATATCTTTATAATTTCAGCCTTTATATGAATTAGAAACACTAGAAAATTTCTTTAGGAAATGGATGACTTTCCATTACTACTGTGAAATTTTACTGTGGTTAGTTTTTGGCCCTCAAAACTATTATAATTTATAAAATCTGCTGGTTCCCATGAACTTGAAACCATGGGATGCAATAAATTGTGTGACTGGTGGTGTATGCAACCTCCCCTGGCTGTATTCCTCTTGACTCTGGTGGCATGTGCTGTCACTTTGGTCTCCATCTCCATTTATGTTGATGTTCATCGGGATAATTTGCCCGATCCTAATGTCAGGGTGAGAAATGCTTGTTAATCTACTTATATTAAGCAATGTAATACTATTACAAGTTCTTAGAATAAATTAAAAAGTTTATTATAATTGTCAAATGGAAAGGAATTACATTTAATTAGGCAATTCAGAAATATGAGTACATAGAGATCCATATTTATTGTTATACTATATTTAATTTCTGGAAAATATCCTCAATTTCTCATCAAATGGATACCAATTTAACAATTTGATCAGATATAAATATGATGAATGTAATTTAAACACATGTATAGTTTGCATAAGACATAACATGCTTAAAACAGTTTAAACTTGATGGACATTTGCACTCTTACAGGACTGGAATACTTTTTTCTCAAGCTTCTCTCGTGTGGAACTCTGCATTCCTTCAATAGCGGCAAATTATTCAATAGCTGAAGCAGATTCAGTAACAGAACCTCTTGTTCAGGTGAGTATGGAAAGATTTTGATGTTTCAAACGTGGCCTTTTTAGCGTCATTTATGGAAAAAATGCAGTATTGTGCTCACCATTTCTGTCGTCTGTCTGTCTGTCTGTCTGTCCGTGACTTCATGTTTTTGTTGATGAGAAAAAGTGCACTCTGTCACTCACTGCAGTGAGTACTGAGTTATTTTTTCATGCATTATTTGTTACCATTACCATGTGATATTGTATAAACTAAACTTATTTTGCAAATTTACTTGGAAGTATATAGTTTAAATTATTTAGTAATATTTTAATTGTTAAAATTCAAACTAAAAAGAAATAAAATTTGCTGCAGCTTCTCTAAGGAAAGTCTTAGCTTGTACTTATGTATCTGTCAGGCAAACATATCCTCTGTGAGTGCTCTGGTGACCCTCTCTGTGGAGGCCGTCAGACCAATTGAGAGCACACCAGCTGTGCTAGACATGCTTGCTCACCACACCCTCTACTCCAACATCACTGAGGCTCTGCTAGGCATTAGAGGTAACATCACTGAGCATTAGAGGTAACATCACTGAGCATTAGAGCTGCACTATTAATATTACTTATATAAGCTTACTGTGTACTCAACATAATTAGCATTTATGTACTCAACACCAAGCACAGTTACCATATTATAAATCAAAAGAATTATTAGTTATTATTTGTGAGTAATAAAATATATCCAGAGATATTATCTGACAAAATTGAAAATTTGTTTTCTTTTTAATCTTCTAAACCTTTATGCATGTTGTTTTTTGATGGTTTCTGTGGGAAGCACTTGTTCATACTTCAGGTTGAAATGTATACCTATAGTAGGTACAAAGCCCAGTTGTTTCAAGTGTGCATGTTTGCCTGTTTTTTATTCTTATTCCTTATTAGAGGATATTTGTTCTTTTTTTATGATGCACAAATAGTTCATTAGTTTATGCTCCTGGTAAAACAGTACCTATATATTAATGACAATCTAATAACATTGGTGACACCAAGTTTTTTCTGAGTGGATTCTCTCAAATGACAAATAAATAATAAAGCTTGATTACTAGGTCGTTTTTATCAACCATTCAAAAGTCTATGTCAAAGATGACTTTCTTGACATATCACAAATGCTTTTTGTTGTCCAGGATATACTAATATAAATAAACTAAATTATGCAAAATGCAATGCGCTTAATCACTGACCATGTACAACAGTAATTTGATTAATGCTGCAAGTCCATCTGTTTGCTCCATTTTAAATGTGCTGGTGTTCTCATACGGCAGTTCCATTGAGTCGTGCGGCTGACCTGATGCAAATAATGATCGGCCTTCCTGAATCAAAGTCCAAGAAAGACTCGCACAAAACCAAAGACTCAAGCAGTAATAAAGACATCATTAATGTCTGCATAACCTTTACTGGACCAAGTCGCCTCCTGCCCAACTCCATCGTCACTCCTGAATCATGTAGCAGGGAAAACGTAAGTCATGACTGTAATACCTAAACATTCCTCTCTTGTTTATTTGCTTGTGGGATCATTGGGATTTGTGTTCAGTTTTTCACTACCGTACACAAATCAGGTGAATTTTTTAGAACTTGTCTTTTAAACTACTTTTATTGTGATGACATTGCCTCTTAATTTGACTAATTTATATTTCATTTTTAAAGCTGTAGCATTACATCGGAAACATTTAATTTCTGAGTAGTACTGATACCCAAATTTTCTCCCCCTTTAAACTGGGTTGCTTTGTGGCAATTATCAGTTTTATTTTTGTACAATAATTTTGTTTATATATAAGAATCGCCTCAATTTTGGTTTAGAATCCTCTGATATTTTCAACTCAATTATATAAACTCGGATAGTTATATGCAATGTAATGCTGATAACTCAGGAGACTCTGTTGTAATGTTAGACCAATAAGTGTACATGGTGGTGATGTGTGCATGTGGATACAGTGGCCGGTACGCGTGGTAGACGCCCTGGGTGTGTCGGGAGAGCCATGCGCGGCCACGGACGCGGTGCTGCCGCTGCTCCTGCAGCAGCAAGAGCTTCTTACGCCTCTGCTCTCGCAGGTGCGCCGCTGCCTCATGGCTTATTGTCAGCCATGGCATTCACTTGTAACCAATTTGTGCAAATTGTTGTTTATTTTTTCTCATTAATTAATTATTTGTTCATTCCTAGTCCAATTTTTTGTTTATATTAACTAGTTTCAATTTTTTTCATACGCATCACTGCTTTTCTGGCCAACAACACACTTTTCCAAGCTTATATTTTATTTCTCTGTTATTCGTACTAAAGTTCTCTGTTCTTGAATATAGCGGTTCTAGGTATGCCAACTCTGAGAATGTTTATTTGGAAATATTCTCACAATAACAATGCAGCAGCAAAGCATTTCCTTTTCACTAGTTTTTCATAAATTTGCATTGGTAGGTAAGTAGTTTACTTGCTACTCCATAATCAGCTATCTATATTTCTACCAACATTCACCGTTCATTATTCTGTGTAACCATCTTTACATAGAATTGCAAGTTACTTTCTGCATTCCTGATCTCAATTAAAAATATTCACATATGATATTTAACGTCTGTATACATTTGTAATTCCTTTTGATACTACTGCATTTGAGTCATATGCAATTTTCCTACTGAGTAGGTTGTCTTATGTGCATTTCTGCATGACATCAGAACCAATCTCCGATTTTTGTCGTTTCCTTATTGTTCCGGGACCCGAGGCTCCCATCTCCTGCTCTCATTGTTTCCGTCTATGTTGCAGGACCCGAAGCTCCCATCTCCTGCTCTCATTGTTTCCATCCATGTTGCAGGACCCGAAGCTCCCATCTCCTGTTCTCATTGTTTCCGTCTATGTTGCAGGACGACACGGTGCTGATCCAGCTACACATCATGTACACGACCTGCGCCCTGACGGTGCTCATCCTGTTGCTGCTGTGCTACGCCATCTGCCGCAGGGCCGTCCATCACGCCAGGATGCCCGGCCATGCTGCTGCATCGTCACTTGAGAAGGTCATTATTTCATCACCGTAAAGAGCGTTCAGGTGTTCTAGTCTAGGTTGAAGTTAGCAAGATGGTTTAGTCGTTGCTAGTTTATGTATATATAATTTAAAGCCAGAAAATTAACACCATAACTATAGCATGGTAACAGAAAGATTTCTGTTAACTCATTTTTGATGTGTTAACCTACTTAGTACAGTTAACCTAAGTTCATTATTTAACTATTTTGATTATTTGACCTACATTTTACGCTTTAAAGTGCAGAATTTTCAATGTGCTGCAATTACATTTTTTATTTTTGCTGCACTGCTGGTGAATAATAATTTGCTTCTGACCGTGCAGGTATGCTTGACGGAATAAGGAGAGAGTGCAAACAACGAAAAAAATTTTATGTGTCCTCTTCTTTTTGTTCACCAAATAAATTCTGTGATCTGGGACGTTTTTATTTAGGGTTGCAATAGTTCTTGCTGACGTAGTTGGGCTGTGGCTCTTTGAAAATCCACAACAGCATGACCGGCACATGGCTTTCAAGGTGATGCCTTGATAAGCAAATGCCTTGTGCACTTGCTGGTATTTGATTGTTACCCGCTGGACAAGTTTGAGTTATTATATGATGATCTTTCACGTGACGCTTGTCTATGATAAAAACTGGAAAACATCCATTCTTAGGTGTGTTCATTTCATTATTGGTGTGATGCTTTTAAATTACGCTGAAAGCGACGAAGATTATCAGATTTTCACTCCTCTTTCCTGCGAAAGGTCTATTATCATACGGCAGGTTTTTTACTAGAAACCATTCCGGTTTGAGATGACAGCTGTTATCAGTCCAATAATCTTACATTTAATTCCACTTACATAGCAAAGCTTTATTTTTATTGAGACCTCTTCAGATCCAAATCATTTGCATTGTGTCCGTATTAATAAGTGTAGAAACTTTGGGTTGGGTGCTTGACAAGAAATGTGGAAATGTATCGACTATCGAGGGTTCTAGAGATAAGAGCCCAGTGCTAGTGATATTTGTTACTAGCGAGATTTTGTTTCTAGTGGTTTCCAAGTGACCCGATGAACCTGGGCATGGTTGAATGAAGGATACTTGAAGGGTGATTTTTTCATTTCATTTGCTGTGCATTATAGGCTGCTTTCAGTATTTAAATGTATAGGTTACAGGTTTCTTTTATTTGTGTTGCAATTGGTTGTAGGAATATATTCTTTTATCCCATCTTTCCTTCCCTCCTACTAGTAAGTCAATCATCTTATGGAGCCAACAGCGAAGTAACATGTTATTTATAGCATATATATTTTTATTTCCTCCCTAATTCCCGTCTAATTCATCTAAATTTATCATTATTTTTAGTCATTAGCGGCTTTCATTATTAAAACATTATTTGCTTAGCTTTACTCGCAAATTTAGGTATAACCTCAGAAGATTGTCCCTAGATTTCATCACTTTGACTTGGCGCAAATTGTGCAATACTTGTATATAGTCATCAGATATTTTTGTTTCAACTTTCATTGCAGCTTTAGATGTTCAGTTTCCAAAAGATTTTTTTATTTACGTGCATAACTTTTTATACTTTGCGACCAATATTATCGGAATGCGGTGCACCTTGTGTTCAAGTTTCATCGTTTGATTAAGTAGTGGCGAGAAACAGGAAAGTTTTTACTGCGCTTCTGATAATTCTGGCTTTTGTTTGTTATTCATCTTGTGTAAAGGTTGTGAATTTTTAATATGGGTGGCAAGCGTGATTTTTCACTTGAATGGTGCAGTAGTTTGTAAATTGAAGTATTCGTGCTCACGAAGCGAGTTGAGTTCAGTCAGCAAGTTATGTACACGTTGATCCGTAAGTAAGTTTTTGATAATTATTGCTTCATTATGATGTTCGTGGTAGCCAGCTTTTTACGCTAGTCATTTGTTTATTGCATTGTTGGCTATTGCTTTGGACAAGTTACCGCATTTTCCTGTGATGCAGATGCTCTTGGATTCCACGAATTACTGTAATCTCATATAGACGTAAATTTATTGAATTGATCGAGAGCATGATCATGAAGCTCTGCAGACTTTCAAATCACGAAAAAATTGTGATCAGCAAACTTCCAGCAAGAGTTGATCGAACACTGAAAGGGTTTTGTCCCTATCCTATCCAGTTGTCGAATGCTGTACTCTCAACATGATAGAAAAAAAATTGCGCATTGTGTCTATGCCGCAAATTTTCATTTTTGGTCTAGTTACCAGTTCAATGAACATCATCTCCCCGTTCACAGTTAGTCCTCGGATATTTGAACAGATTTATAATGAAATAGTGGCTGGACGACTGTCAAATTAGAAGAAAATATTATGTAAGCGTTCTACATAGATTTGCAGGAGTGGTATAATTTTGTATCTTTAATGATTACGTTACAAGATGTCATTCCAACGCTTAGTTTAGCTATGACTACTATTAAACGTATGTGCCGGAAATCGACTTGAGCAATATTGATATTCAAGTGCCTTACAGCTCGAAGCTATCTATTATCTTTTTAATGTAGGAGTAGGAGTTGTTAAATGTTGTCATTGCATCAAATTTTATAGAATAACATTTTTTGTATTATTGACAAGAATTTTATATGAATAATTCATGTACAGTTTTACGAAAATGTATGTGCGTTTCATCGGAATTGAATGTGATGCAACTGCACCAAAGTGTGTGTTGAATGCTTCACCTTCTCAATAAACTTGTAACACACTTTCATCGGTTTATTGTTCAACACCCCGGAGAAAGAAAATAAGTAGCCATTTATAATCTTCATAAATTAATTCAGCTGAGTTTTTACATGATCAATTGTAAAAATATGGCGATTGAACTTTCCACATATGTACAATAGTAAAAGCTCTAATTACGTTTCTAATTAGCATAGACCACATCTACCTCCGGCTCTGATATACCGTTGACATTGCATAAGCTGACGTCAATCTGCAAGTTACTTGGTACACTAATAATAATGATGAAACTTAATGCATTATCAGTTGTATACACGCTACTTCTCAATTTAGTCGTCAGAACGTTCAGTGACGAAATAAATACTTTGACCACGAGTAGACTTCCCCTAAATGCATCTTACGCTGCAGAACACAAGTGCGATGCCGAGAAAAAAAATGCTTCTCACCCTCCTGAAATATCCTCACAAAAAGACTACAGCATTATAAGTTTATCAGCGGCGCTGGGGAGTTAGAGTTAATGAGCAAAGCTGGTCCCACGTTAGCGCAGCAGCCCAATGCTCTCGGCGAGTTACATAAACCGTAATTAATTAACTCGTAAGTAGTGACCGATATTTTGATAACTAGTTTTACTTAAAATATGAGCAGGTACGTTCGGAACTTTAATCCTGGAATTATAAAGGTTACCTTACTAACGATTCATACAATATTGGCTTGATTAAAAAATCCCAAGGCATCTCTTCGAATGTTACCTACGTCAACTATAGTCTGCCAGAGTTATAAAATGCCCACATCACCAATTATTGGATGCATTGGCTGAACAGTCAGTTTAAAACAACGGAACATTAAAACTTCACACAAAAACATAGAATTAAAAATGGAATTAGCAGCTCTAACTAAATTATTTATCAAAGTAATAAAAATGTGCCGATGCCGACAGTTAAAGTTCAGCAAAGCTGGCACCTAAAAGAATTAAGTACAAAATGTTGGCTTTCAAATTGCGCGATTCAGCAGTCGATTGCTACAAACTAAACCAAAAAATTAGCCTATCTCATAACTGACACTACTTTACGGGTTTTAAGAGATAAATGGAGCTGTTTGAAAGATAGGTTTTTAAGTTGTAATGCTAATATTACATTAAAATTAGTTATCGTCGTAATTATATTCATAAAAGCACGAGAGAAAACATCGAGGCTAAGAATACAGCCATAAACTGTCACAGCCAAAACCTCGACTTTGGCGCAGAAGTGTTTTGGTTAAGATAAAATTGAAATAAATAAAGTTCAGAGAAGAAGCAAGATCAAAAGACAGTGCTAATATTACAGTATAACAAAAAGCTTCTCTAACAAGAAGTTCTTATAAGATAAGAAAGAAGTGAATTTGCCAGTTGCACTTCAGAACCGATGTCTTATCTCGAATAATAATCATAATATACGGTCAGTAAAATCAGTCAAATGACTTGACATGTGCTCTGAGAACGGATCCCGGGAACTCCGTCTTTGGCATGTAAACGAAATTGAATTTACCAGCAAGTTTTTAAAGAATTCTTCCGAAAAAGATGTAAAAATCATAGGCGGCGGCATAAAACTTTACGATTGAATCTAATTATTGTGTCGGTATAAGGCTTGCGAGATGAATTTATATCTCAAGTTTGATGATTCAAGAGGCGATCGACGAACCAGAGTTTCTTGCAAAAGCCAGCATAGAATAAACTAAACTTTAGATCCTGGCACCGTATGTTGATTCATTCCAACTCGATAGTGGGGTTGAGAGTGCTGGGATTGTGGATTGTGCTGGGATTGTGAAGTGTGCTGTGTTTGTTGATATTGTTGGGGGTGTCGGTGGTGAGTTGGGGCCAGAGGGTGCCCCGGTGGGGGTGGAGGTGGCTGACGGTTGCGATGAGAAGGATGGTGCATCGCCCCCATGTTTTGGGGATGACTGCTTTTGCTGGGACTGCCTGGTGACAGAAAAAACACAAGTTTAGTAATAGAAAGCTAATTGAAATTTCATGAAATAATTCAAAACTGATGGAGTGTGATCCTGGTGACCAAAAATTGTGTTCATGGTGAACATGAACATATTTTTTTTCTCACGTGAAATGGAAGGGATATAACCGTTGCGTTGCAAAAAAAAGGGCGTCGGTATTTTATGACAGTATTTACGAAAGACATGTGTTCGAACTTTCATTCTTAATAACATACAATTTAATTAAGAAGTCATCAAGAGCAACCGCAGTCACAGACTCGAGTGAACCTTCAGAACTCACTTTTGGCTTGGTGAGTAGCCTGCATGCGATACTGCTGATGTGGTTTGTTAGGAGGTGGGGGAGCTTGTTTCTGTTGTCTCGGTTGTTGGTGAAGCTTTGAGTTTGAGTTAGCGTGATAAGGAAGAGCGTCGTCGGTGGCCTGGGTAGGGTCAGAATACTGCGGTTGCATATGAGAGCGCCGAGGCAGAGAATTTTGTCCCGACATAGCGGGTCCTGGCATTGAATTGTCGTGGCTCATATTATTGAACGCAGGGCTGTTAGGACCCATGCTCATTGAATTAATATTTTTACTATTATTATTGTTATTACTACTATTGGAATTGCTTGAGTATTGAACTGTGGATGAATAACCAGGATTCATATTTCTGGGGTTTTGAATAGAGTAGCCCTGGGTGTTGACGTGGTTTTTGTAAGGTGACATGGGCGGAGCTCTGTTGCGTCCGCTGCTGTTATTGCTGCTACTGTTACTGTGCTGATGTCTGTACGGAGGGCCATTCGAGCTAGCGTTCGAGCTGTTACTGCTCCCGATACTGATATTTGTTGTGTTGTTGGCGCTGTTGTGTTGTTGCTGGATATAAGCGCTGTTGTTTTTATTTGATTGTGCCTGAGAAAAGGCGTTGGTTTTGTACGTCAAGTTGCTGGAAAGTTCCCCCTGATGCTGAGCCGCCCTTGAGTGCAGCATCAGCTGCTGCTGTGGAGTTTGTCTCGTGGAGTCGGAGGAGGTGGCTGCGTGAGACATCATTGCCTGGACGCTCTCATACTCGTAGTAGTTGCTGACGGGGCGCGACATGCTGCCGTGGCCCTCACGAGGACCTCTCTGGCTCTGGTACTCACGACACTCCCTGCTAGGAAATATCGTACGTCAGGCATGCATTACTGATAATATTGTACGTCAGGCATGCATTACTGATAATATTGTACGTCAGGCATGCATTACTGATAATATTGTACGTCAGGCATGCATTACTGATCTATGTCGTACGTCAGGCATGCATTACTGATCAATGTCGTACGTCAGGCATGCATTACTGATCTATGTCGTACGTCAGGCATGCATTACTGATCTATGTCGTACGTCAGGCATGCATTACTGATAATATTGTAAGTCAGGCATGCATTACAGATCAATGTCGTAGGTCAGGCATGCATTACTGATTAATATCGTACGTCAGACACGTATTACTGATAAATATACTATATCAGGTACGCATTACTGATTAATATCGTACCTCAGACACGCATTACTGATGAATATCGTCTAAGTCAGGCTCGAATTACTGATGAATATCGTACGTCAGGCAAGCATTACTGATGAATATCGTACGTCAGGCACGCATTACTGATTAATATCGTACGTCAGGCACGAATTACTGATAAATTTCGTACGTCAGTCATGCACTGTTCTCAAATATTGTACCTCAAGCCCTTTTTGGTAAATATCGTAATTAAGGTATGCAGCGCTCGTAAATATTGTGCCTCAGGCACGCTTTGTGCTTGGCTATCGTAGCCAGATATTTCACGTTGATGAATATAGCAAGACGGAAAATTAATGATGCTCAGTTTAGAACCAAGTTGAAGGTATAAAGTAGTATTCACGAAAATTAAAACCTACAGGATTGCTAAGAAGGCAAAGTTTGACTTTTGGTCAGGTTGTAGTTGTACAAACTATATGACGTATATTTAGAGATACTATTCTGTGTTGATGATCAACGAGGCGGTGAGCTACAGCACGAAGGTAGAATTTCCCTTGTATAAGTGAGATAGCATTTTGTTCTTACATGGCAACTTTAATTACTTGTTCAATCGTTAAGTACTATGAAAAAGCTCCACCATCATAAAAATAAATGCCGTTTCCTTTAATCTGCGCGCATTCTCTTCACGTTAGGAGGGTAAGTAGATCCGTGCCGTCACAAAGTCTTCATGCACTCAATGAAGATAAACTTTCACACGGAATGATGACATATACATTGTAATCATGTTATCTGCATGCTCAGTATCACATATTAAAGTTTTCAGTCCCACATATGGTAAACGTGCGATAAAAAATATAGATTATGGCAAAAAATCAAGTTATGAGCTGAGCTCAACCACCTTACTTGTAAGAAGATCGCAATTTTGAGAACAATTAATAACGCAGCACACGCAATTAAATTGTAATATGTGAACAATTGTAATATGTGAACAAAAGTTTTAGTTACAACGAACATAATGCAGAAGAGAGATAGAAGGGTGGCATGAACGAGTGAGCTGAATGTGACCAAGAAGTTCATTTATATGAAATAAGAACATAAAACCAGTGTGAGTCAAATCCTTTTGACAGAGAAGACAAACGAGGTTGAAATTGCAATTTTACCTGTTGATGATGGCCTCATCGATAAAAGACTGCTCAAGTTTTTGCAGCAATTGCCACTGAGGGGAAGACTCAGTGATGTAAGTTGTGTGAGGCCGCTGTTTCCTGTGAGCCCCGTCAGAAGAAGCAAAGCGTCAGCTAAAATATACCGCATCAAACCATACATAGCGAGACTGGTGGAGAGTTAGTCCAACCATGAGTTAGTAGGTCTGATTAGAATGCAAGGACACCATGTAACCGCGTACACAAGAGTTACGAGTCGACCACTGATGAAAGTTACCATAAAAGCAGGAATTAATTTTTATTCCATAACCCGTAGTAGAATCTTAAGTACGTATTAAGAAGAACCATCATGAAAAAAGTTTCCCAGAGAATATTTTAACCATTTAAGGAATAAATGAAGCAATACAGATACAATCATAAGCTGAAGCTGTCTTAATATTTTCGGTAAAGCTGATTGGAGTCACCGGCACGACATTGTATGCAGTCAAGGCTCACAACAAAAATTACATGAATTAATCAAGGAAGGCAATCATGTACGGCATCTTAAATCAATATGAGAATTTCTTGTAGAATCCAACTATCAATGTTCCCACAACAAACTACGAGAACATAATTACAACTCCTCTGTGCACTGATGAAGTATTATGACAATCAAATATTTAGCAGAACAAATTTCTCAAAAAAATTAGTTAGGAAGGTTTTTTTCTTCTTTTGATGATACTTCGATTTACTATAAACTAGTCGCATAATAAACGGAACCGTCTACTACAAAGTTCTAAATTTCACAATTATTCGCTCAATACATAACCATGTGAGATAGTGGGGAGAATGATAACCCGCAACCTCTGCTAACGACCAAAATTAGACCATAAGAGAAGGCCGTGCACCTCTTTTTCTTTGCCCCAAATCTGTGCCGCTGAATACAAAATTTAATTTGAAATAAAAACCGAGCTTATAGCACCAAAGATTTGAAGATATTTTTTTAATTATTGTTTGTATGTGGACGATGTACAAGACTACTTTATACTCCTATTTCAGCTTGAGCTCAATAAATTATTTCCCGGTCTTGACTTTGCCAGTAAAAACTTGACGCGTACTGGGTAACTAAAATACATAAAAATAATTTAAGATCCATTATTAAAGGTAAATAAGATACATTGAAAATAAATACAGTATGTTAAAATATTGGTCTAAGCTGAGAAAAACAAGTGATGACCGCACCTGTTGTAATGTTTCTCTCTGAAGTCTCTGTATTGCTGACTGGCGAGTTGCTTCAGCCGCTCTTGCTCTTCGTTGCTGCTCAGTGCACACAAAATTACATCCCCACACGCATTAACAAATGTTTTTAATAAGCAAAAATACAAAGTTTAAGCAAAGTTTAGAACACCCAACAATTGAATCAAATTACTTTGTTACTGAATCAAATTACAAATTACTGAATCAAATTGTTAAATCAAGCGTACGACAAAGCATTATGAACAGAGTATAAAAAATATTGTGTTACGAGTTATCAAATCGTCGAGTAGAGCAAATGCTTCTATACCTACGCATGTGAGAGTACATGCATGATTATTAAATGAATTTTGCAGAAAAATTTGTTATGATGAATGACTTGTGATCTAGTGATAGTGTAATGAATTAGCAAATATTGAGTCAAACGGCCGTTGCATGGGAATCAAATCACTGTCTGTTATCACAGGTTTAACATCCCAGACAGGGATGTTACAGACATTGACAACGGAAATATATATTTTTATAAAACGAAAAATTTTTCATTATCATTTCAACGATGAGCGCTTATTTCCGGCCAAAAAGCAATTGAATAATTGAATGAATTTAACAGCCGTTGTATAATTTAGTAATTCATTTCTAAGAATCGAATTGCTAAATTTTATTAATAATTTTGCATCAACCTAAAACTTCAATTAAGGTGCAAATGTTAAATTACATTTGAAGTCACCACATGTAATAATGTAGATATGAGATCTTGGAGATATGTAAGACTCATTTTACAAATAAATATGTCCTTGTTTAGGTCATCCTGGTCCAGTTGGATCAGGCAATGAAGCGTATCAGTGATATGTGCAGAAAGTGTCAGGATTTAGACAAGATAACATATTCAGTTTTCTGACTGTATCCATAAGTTGAGAAAAGTCTTTTCATGTCAGAGTGAGGCAATAGCGCTCCCTAGAACAAACTAGAACAGGTGAGAATACAATAAAAACGCTCATTAACAACAATCGAGATGCCACTTCCACGATAATTACGAGTAAATGTAGTCCATAAACTGCGCACTATACATTTATCCACAGGCTAACTCGACAGCACCTCATTTCAGGCGAGAGTTTTTTAAATGGGTTTTCACCACGAACACGGCAGATGTTTCTTGAGAGGCCTATCATGCGTGGCTAATCGTGTGCAGGTTGTCACAATTCACCGATTATGTGCTGCATTACCATGTACTAGGAGTCAAGGCACAGCATTCACATGCTTTTTACTTTTTTTATTTACTTTTTTCATGTACTCACCGCAAATGTTGTTGAATTTGTTGGTAGTTTGCATAGTGCGCGAAGAGTAAACTGTTGGCAGCGGCAGGGGTCTGTGTAGAGCCCCTGACCCCTCGGCTACCGGGACGGTGCGCTGGCAAGCCGAACTCTTCCGCAGTGTTGGACGGAGCCTCGCCCGGAGGAGCCGGGACAGGCTTCAGCCGCTGTAAACATCGCTCGTTATGAATAATTACTTCATTATAATTTATACAAGACTTAGAAGATTGTTGTATCAAATGTAGCACAGAAAAAAATGATAATGTACTTGATTTATCGAGGATTATTTACGATTGGATGATGCAGAGAAAACATACCCTTGATGCAGCGTATATTCAATTGTGTACTAGGTTTTAGAGAAACTTACTCCAGCGGCAATTTAAATTCTCATGTGTGTTTCTTAGGAATGAATTGTAACGCAAAAGTAGCGCTTATAGAATACAAGTTAAGACCAGAACACGGTCATTGATATCCGAGTACGACATCCGAGTACGGTCTAAATTCCGATTGTCGTCGCAATAGATTATATATATATATCTACATCACGGAACACGTACACATATGTCTACATCTATAGTAACAAGTGTTAACTGAAAACTATTCATCGTTCGTAATTATAAAGGGGCTGAAACTATCTTGAGGTGAAAACTATCCAGCAATTATATTGATGCGATTAATTCATATCGTAAACTTATAAACATTTCCAAGCATGAAATGGGAAATAGGAAATGCTACTTGAAGATAAGGTAACCGGAACAATGATGCAAACATAAAAAATTCATCAACAGCACAATCTCGTGGACAAAAAAATTTTTACTATCACGCATTGAACAAACAAAAATAATGTTAAACTTCAATAAAAAAAAACACACCATAACGCGATGCCGAGTGAACACCCAGCAAGCTCAAACTACGAAAACTACAGAGCAAGGAAGCGTCTAATATGGATAAACTCGTAAAATGGAATTCATCGTTCACAGGAAAAATGCAAAATGTTAAAGTTGGTTACATAAAAAAAAAAATTTATTAAAGAGCTGTCGAGACTAACATTTTTTCACGAATAAAGATGTACAGCGAAAATAGAGCGCTGATTGATGTTAAAGTGGAGCTGCCCAAACGGATTTAAGAATGCGATTATGGCAATGCACTTGAAAATAGAGGAAAACGTCATACAGCACACACAAAACGATAGCAATCATTTCGTTACACGTACCTGCAAAATCTGAAAAGCTGAAACAACGATGTAAGTAAAAAAACTTTCAAGCTACAAAAAAAAAACGATGTTTGACATGCGATGAAATAAAATTGTCGCAATTATACGACAATTAACACTTGCAGTGACTGAAAAAAACGTGCAGTGCAGTGTAACGGTGACAAACTAAATAAAATCGAACTATCCAATTCCTGTTATGCAAACAATAAACTGTAATGACTGGTGTAGAAAACGCGCAGAGATACTGGCTTTTGACTTTGAATTTGCATGCTAACGATGAATAAACTTCAAAACATTTTCGATGCAACACAACTACATTAGAGTGATAGCCAAAAGCGCCAGTACCTCTGCGTGCCCGAAGTACTACAAGCCATCACAAGCATTGATACTTTTCGGAAGAAACTCGGGTCTTGCGCATTATTTTAGTTCATTGCGTCCAGATGGGTGGCATGCGGTCATTGGGAACGAGAGCTGGCAAGCCTTACCCAGTACTTGCTCTCTTCTAATATGTTAGTAGAAGCAAGGGCAGCCATTGGGTTAGGTAGCACCTTTGGCGGGATGAGAGGGGCTGGGCAGGGTCCTCGGCAGTCGCGGGTGAAGGGTACATACGATGAGTAGTCCTGATAGAAATTCATTCCTGTCGGTGCGTTACTTCGACTGACTAGTTTGGCGGCTGCGACGCCTTTTACTCCCATCCTGGGCAAGGAGCTACTGCGACCACTGCTACTGCTGCAGTTACTACTGCTGCTACTCAAAGGCTGATTGGCAGTATTGAAGCATACGGCAGGATTCGGTAGTGCCAGGTTTGATGCGTAGTTCTCGTAAGTGCGGTGATTGTTCAGAGAGAGGCCGTTATTGAAGTATGTTTGGCAGTTCGGAGCTGAGGTAGGAGTGTATTGACTTGCCGGGTGAGGTGCACGAAGCCCACTTGCAGGCATCGGATTATTCGCTCCCTCGTGGCAATAGATCGGTAAGGGGCGATTCTTTTTAGTGTGAACACCGATAGTAAATTCATTACCAGTAACATTTTTCATGTTGTCAACGAAATCACTAGAAGCCTCAGGGCACAGGTTAGTGATATTCATGTAATTTGAATCAGACAAAATAGATTCGTTTGCCTGGTTCTGACAGAAAGTGTCCTCGTTTTTTCGGTCGTCCTGCTCCCTTCGAGTCAATTTGTTTGCCGTATGGTCGTTAGAAATAGCCTTGTCTTTGACTTCGGGGTCTACGAAGCTAAGATCTTTGCAGCTATTGCTGTTAAGGCACGACAAAGTCTTTGCAAAGGTGAATGTAAAGTTTGCATTCATACCGCCAAAATTTGGAATAGCGGAATGACCACGAGTGATTTCTTCAATGGCAGGTATATTTTCCTTGTTCTCAGACCTTAATTCTTTGCGATCACTCTTCTCACTCTTCTTGTTCGCTTTCCTCTTTCTAGTCGATGACAGAGTCTCAGATAATGAAAAAGAACGTCGTCGATTATTCGGCTTGAAATCATCCGATTTGTTTGAATTTTCAACTTCTTGCAAGACCGACGTGTGGATGACAGAAGCCGGCCTATTTACCTCTTTTTTAGACGATGAACTGTTAGTTAGAACTTCGCTACGAGGTTCCGGAAGTACTTGGCAGGTGCTACGAACTTCTTGTTGGGTCGTCAGCTCACTTCTAGTGTTAACACATAGCGATTTTTTCTCGGCAAGCGCGTTTCTAATATGAACAGGAGGAGGAGGCACTTGATAATTTCGAGTCTGGATAGGCTTATGGACAGACGCAAGTCCGTTGTCATTACGCGATATATTCTGAACTTTGTTAACGCTGACGGTATCACCATGGTAGAAGTAGTTCGAGGCGACAGGCTCGGCGACAGAATCAGCGCAAGGTTTCTCAGAGGTATCACCAGCCGAGGATTGAGAGTTCGGAACTTTGGGGAACACTTTTGATTCATGGAAAGGGTTACCATCTCGTAGGTGAACAGGTGGAGGAGGATGTTTATAGGCACTGGCAGCAGCATGCCCGGAGTTGTTGCAGCTGCTGGAACTGCTGTGGTTAGTGGTGAATGAATTTTTGTTGCGAGGTGGTAGAGGTGGTTTGTGTGCCACGCTTGTGTCACCAAAAAGAGCGTTCAAGTTGCCCGCGGAAAGCAGAATGCTTGAAGGCCTCTCGTAAAGTCCCGAGTCGTTTTTAATTTTTGAATTTGTCAATGAGGAGGTGGGGAGATGTGAGAGGTTGTTGGTCGTACTACAGCGTGGGAGAAGTTGCGTAGAATTGTTTCCACGACTGTCTCGTTCTGTTTGTTGTGATACAGCGTTAATATATGCATCATTGACGTTAGCATATGCCTCATTGACATCCTTTCGTCCAGCAGGAAGATTAGATGCTACGTTTTTCGGTGTCCTCTCAGCCACTGGTAATGAGTTAACTATGTTGCACATGCTGGCAGTTGCCTTCTTAACAGGTCGCGAATAGATGACATCGTTAAAGACGTAAGCGTTGGCTGAAATAGCAGGCACAGAGTTACCAGCCACATTATTACTGTGGTGCGAGTTTACAGTCAGTTTCACGTCTTTTTTAGGGCTCATGATAATGAAAACATCTCTGTGCTGCGAAGTTTCGGGGCTCTGTTTGGAGGTTACCCGAGATGAGTCGTGCTCATCGCGGAAACAACTTTTGCAGAATAAACTCGAGTTGCAGGGACGGATTTGTTCTGGAAGGGCTTCAGGAGCTCCAATTCCTTTTTTCGAAGACCAGATAGTCATCGCTTGGTCAATGCCGGTAGCATTTTCTTCGTGGAAAATGAAATCTGCATTTTTCAGGGTATCGTGAAATCCGTCTATACACGCTTGGCTCCTCTCAATAAATGCATAGCTCTCTTTAGCTAAGTCACTAGGGAGACAGATAGTAAAACTTCGATTCAAGGTTTTGGCAGGACTGGTTTTCGATACTTGAATCAGTTTGGTAAGATGTCGTTTTCCTCGAGAAAAGGAAGATTCTGGCGAGCGATCAAGATCATCAAGACATGGATACTTAGTCAAGACTCCACCGTGGAAAGAACGACGAGTAGGGCTGGTCGACCCGAAGCCAGACGACGAGACTGAACGAAGCTGACGTTGGACGATAGCGTCAGTTCGCCGGACAGCAGCAGCGACCGTCAAGTTTGCAAGCGTATTATCTTCTTTCCGCACCGAGGCTGGAGGCTCGGCCAGAGGAGATTCGATATTTGTGGCACTCATGGGAGATCGCATGTCAGAAGTGGAAGAAGGCGAAAGAATAAATCGAGATGATGTGATGTTTGGAGCTGAAATTGGGCTTAGAGGCAAGTTTTCAAGAGTGAGAAGTTGAGAAGAATTGTTTTTTAAGGTAACAGACGACACTTCATGGGAATTGTCGTTTCCGTTGATTGGCAGTTCAATTGAGGGCTTCTTTGCTTCGTCCGCATTGAGGAACTTCTGTTTCGAGCGTGCGATTTAGAGAGATATGAGACATGATACAGGAAATTCTTCGAGTTTAGCAAATTTCCCTTATTAGTGCAATAAAACTAGTAGGCTGGCACATTTGAATTTCCCGTTAGTAACCATCAATTAGAGTTTATAACGACTACCACGGACATCCATCCCGTCATTAGTGCAGTAAAGATAAACGAAAACAGACCAGTAGCATCGAGATCAAGAGTTGAAATTATATAGAATATACCATCGTTTTCAAGTTGTTGATAGCCGGGAGGATTGAATAAGGAAAAAACCGCCAAACAGCTATCAAAAAATTACATGTTTTTGTAACTATTTTGGAACAAATCCGTTTGCTCCTGAAAAACCATCTTTTCCCTCAAAAAATCAAAACTACAGTGATAATGAAATGTCCACATCTAGTTTGTGTTTGATAGACTTTTGTAGGTCTAAAACCTACGAAACTCATTAATTTGCGTTGATGAAATATGAACTTGGTTAATTATAGAAAAGAAAGATCATCCCACAACGCTCCCAATAATATCAGAATGCCTTTTTCATGCAAGAAGTGACTAAGTGACAAAATGAGATGCGTGACAGCGGGTGTTCGTTTTAACAAGTACAGCTCTTATATTGACTCTTGTGTCTCGTGAGGCTCAAGAGCGACGTGTGCTGTTAAGCCTCGTGAGGCTCAAGAGGCTGAATTGAGCAGCGCTCTGACTAGCCTGAAGGTGCAATGCAGGCTCAGAAATATCGCGTAGATGTATAATATCAAATCTCTCATGTCGCCATCAATTTGATCGCTACATTCGGTGATGTAAATATACAAATTTTGTCTGAATTTAATATTTAAATAGATTCAAATCGGTAAAATTTTATCGGTTACAATTATTTACATCCCGTTAAACTTTAATGACGAAAAATCAAAGTCATTTTAAATTATTTACAGGCAAACATTTATATCCTTTAAAATTTATTATGAAGACAAATTATGTACAAATCAAGCAGGAAAAAATCCTAATATCTTTAAAAGAAATAAAATAATTTTACCGCTAAAATTTGATGCCCGAGGCAAGAAATTGAAAACGCCAACTTTTCTCACAATTAAATAGCGGCATTAATTATTTATATGTGCCCCGTTTTGATAGCGAGCCAAGAAATTCTCGGTTATCTCTACGTGAGTCATACTCGATACTTGGCAGCAAATTATCACAAAAGCAAGCAACGTGTGCCAGTTTATGGCGTCTTTATGAAATTTCGCCATGAAATATAGCCAGGTCAAAAAGAAGTTACTTTTATGTGAGAGCCAAATTGACATCACAAATCTTGAAATCCTTGCACTTGAACAATTTTTGCAAGATGTGATATCGCGCTAATTAATAAACAGTTTTATGAACTATGGTTAAATAAAGCTGGAATATTTGGTCGCACAATAAATCGTTCGTTGAGGGAAATTGGAACATAATAAACTTTCAGGACGTTTAACCTCTTTAGATTTTGCAATGAACTGCGTTTTTGCTTATTATTTCGACCAAATTGGGCATGAATGGAAGCAAAGTTAAATAATGTTCTGAACTAAGTTTCTTCGCGGTGCTGGAAACTCAAAGAATAAGCAAGACCAAAAAGCGTCAGGGATTCTAAACCTGAAGCAATAAAGCTGCTAGCGTCTAAACGTAGGCAAGTCGATACGTTTAAAGGTTCAGACTTTACAGTTAGCAAACAAATTCAACGAACGAGTCCTAAAAACTGAAAAATTGAACAGCGAAAATAGCGACATATGTTCGAAATCGAAAGAATTCACTATTTCGCAGCAACTACGCATACATCACAACGTTTTAATCAGTTGAACGACCGAAAGGAAGCAAATTTCGACATAAATCTTTACACTTTTACAGCGCGACTCGCGCTAACCTGAAAGTTTCAGAGACACAAATATTCTTCAACAACTCAAATCTTTGGTTGAGAGCCTACATCTATATTTTATTAGTCCCAGAACCTTCCATGGATCAGGCCGAGTAAATTTTAAAATTTCAGATACGTGGAAAAATTTTCAAATGTTAATTAAATGACACCACAGAAGAAATCAGGACAGTGATAATAAACCGTTTGGCAATTGACAGAGTTTGATGATAGAAATTTTTATGATCTTAGAAAGGGTATGACAATAGAAATGGTTTGACACTAGAAAAGTGTTTACAAGGGAAATTATTTGGTAATAGAAAGCGGTCGACAATAGGGATGGTTCGACAACCGAAATGGTTTGATAATAGACAATGATAGACAAGATAAATGGTTTGAGATGAATTACAGATGTCATGACATACCTTATTAGCGCGTGTGTGGTCAAGTTCTTCAGTGAGGTCGGTGGGGTATGTGCCGTTGCGCTGTATGTGGCGCAGTTGGTGCTCAGCGCGCAGTTGGTGCATGCGCTCAGCTCTGCTGCAGTTGTTGGTGTCATCAGCAACACCTCTGCCAGGAGCCTCAGCGTCACCAGCGTCATCGTCGTCAGGGGTGGCGTCACCTTCACTCCACTGATGAGGAACAAACACATAAACAAACGAGGAACACTCAATCTTAAATAACATAAATACAGAAATCTAAATAACATTAATAACATCTTAAATAACATATACAGAAATCTAAATAACATGAATAACATCTTGAGTAACATACAGAAATGTAAAAAATCGTAAATTTGAGAGAAAATGTAGGAACACATAAAAAATTTGTCAGGAAAACAAAAGACAACTCTCAATGAGGGGTATATAACTTTACGAAATCGTGGTATTGCCACAATAACATTTATTGTGGCAATAACACGAATAACGCCACATATCAGTATTGCCAGTTGCCACTACAACATATTAGTATTGCCGATTGTGTGGACCAGAAAATAGACTGTCACTCCTACAAGAGATTTAGAGATCACAAAATGGTTTGGTGTCGTTATATTGTTGGTTTTTAGTGACTGCGGCGATATGTTAGCGAGGTAATGGTCGTAAAGACTTACGGATGGAGGGAGGTTTGTATCCAGGTCAGCACCGCAGGGCTCAGCCATTGTGTTGGAGTCGAGAGTCTTGCGGTGTTTGCCGAACCTGTTCACGAGAAGATAAGGTTAATGGTGATTGCTGTATCATGACTTACAGAAAAAAAACAGACACGAATAAGTCTGTTCATATTATATAACTTTCAGAGATGACCTATCGACCTATCCAATAACTTTCAGAAATGCAGAAACTTAGTTTAGAATCGTTTGGTTGCATATGATTGAATGGATTTCACCTTAAATTTTAGCAACAACAACATGAATTATGAAGACGAAAATTAATTCAAATGTATCCTTTGGCTCGAATTAGCTAATACGAAACCAGAAGCTGAAGCCGCATATTTTATTACGAACCTAAACATTGAGCCCAGGCCTTTGAGGAGGCCTTTGTTCTTCTTGGCGTGGGGAGGAATTTTTTGTGACTTGATGGCATCTGAAATGTGATGGCCCGAGCGAGGATGACCTTCTATGTCTTCCTCGGCAACTGCAAATAACAATGTATTAGAACATTTCTTCTCATCAATATTATTAGCATGGAGATTTTTCACGGCGGTAAATTAGAATTGCACAATTTCCATGCGATACGAAGGGCGATATAAAATAACATTATCATTACAATAAACTATCACCGCAGTTTTCGCATTTTTTCATATCCACCTATAAAACAAATTTCAATTCTGAGAGAACAAGTTCAACACTGAGTACTTTAGAATAATAGCAAATTAATTGAAGTTCCACTAAGAACTTTGCATATAATGTCAATAACGCAACGAATGATTAAAAACATGGATAACTGAATGGCACGAGCTTACTTCTATTTCAATGAAAACAAACCCAGATAAATGAGCGTGTGAGCTACAATCCCGGTGAAAATAGATATAAATAAATAGTTATGGATGATAGGACTCACGGGTGTCCATGGGGGCGGCGTCTGGGGGCGCTAGGGGGGCGTCATAGCTGCGGTCAACGGCTGCCCTGAAGCTCTCGTTGCAGCCGCGGCCCCGGGGTACGCGACCCGACGCGCGACCTCCATCACTTGGGCCCCCACACTCTGCCAGCGTTACCTGCCACGAGTCAAACAATTATATTACAATTGAACATACCACGAATTCCCTCAATATTATTATGATTGTAAGAGTAATTATCGGCGTTATTATATTACAGTTGAACATACCACGAATTCCCTCAATATTATTATGATTGTAAGAGTAATTATCGGCGTTATTATATTACAGTTGAACATACCACGAATTCCCTCAATATTATCATGATTGTAAGAGTAATTATCGGCGTTATTATATTACAGTTGAACATATCATGAACTCCGTTAATATTATCCTCATTGTAACAGTAATTATTGACGTCACCAGATGGCAACGTCACTATCTATGCAGTCTGTTTTTCTGCCGAATACTCGTAAGAGCGGCAACAAAATTGTAAATAAAAAGTAAAGCTGAAACAGAGAATATGGAGCACTAGAAGTGCCATGCTTCAGTAGGCCCAGTATGCCGCAAATGAGAGATGACATCGCCCCCAAACGGATGGATGAGTTAGAGTTTCCTAAACACATAACTTGGCGTCACTCAACATGAAAATGTTACGTACAACTTAGCAAAAACCTGATGTTCATGTAATTTTAGTAGTGGATCAAAGTTAATTTCCTGTTCAAAGCATGACAAGTCATCACTTCATTCTCATGAGTGTTAAGCACTAATAAAAACTATTTTATAATCGAGAATTGAATACATTCCTAATTTCATAATACGTCCATGGATAGGTTTGGAATGCACCTCGCTAATTCCACGATGAGCACATCATCAACAGAAATTTACAGATGTTAATTATAACACATAAGACAAGTCCAAAACCCACCTCTTGTACCATCGTCTGCAAAGACTCCAAACTCGAGGATTTTTTCATTCCAAGACCAGGTCCGATGTCGGGGGCAGTGTGGTGGTCTTTCCCTACAGAGGAGAATTACATTACTCTATACGAAAAACTCTGGTCAAAAATCTGCAATACGGCTATATTTTACAATACTTACTTTTGGGTCAGGAAAACGAGCAAGTATGAAGCAAAACACCCTCATTAGCGGATGAAGTCACTTATTGAACATTACGACGTAGAGTATTGCAAAATAAATCAAGTTTGACATGATGACCAAAAAAAAAAAAACAGGGGAAGGAGTCTTCAACTTGGGAGACTTAGAGCGTATATTTCGCACGAATTTTTTATGCTAGGAGATGGGATGAAAAATGGTTGCAGGGTTCACGGTACGACGGTAAACCAATCAAGTTTATAGTGTACTCGAGCAGTGAACGATAGGTGCGTGCAGTGAGTGAATAACAGGACGATAGGTTGGTATGATCATTGCTCATACGTGCTTGTTGTATGAAATTAAAACAGATGGAAGCTATCAAAAATAGAAAAGAGGGATTAAACTTCAATCAAATAGCCAAGCAAAAAAAAAAAAAAACCGTGGCTATGAGACAAAGTCGCATGCTACGCCAAAATTTTTCAATGAAGGAAACGGGCGAACATTAAATTCATCAACAAACTTGGGTCCTACGATAAAAATGTGAATCTGGTCATATTACCAGGGCAGCTAAAAACGTGGGCCGAGCACGAGTTATTTACCCGTGTAAGAAGTACAAGACTCGGCCAGAAAGACGTCACCAGAACCTCGTGAATTACGTGCATGGCGGGAGTACTTGTAAGTTATTTTGTGTCGCGCTGCCTCTGTCGGCATTTCGTGAGGAACGGACGCTCTTCGACGAGTAGGTTTCATTGTAAGATCTGAAGTTGAATGGCGATGAATTTTATTCATCGTTTTCATTCGATTGTTGAATAGTCGCCAGTGATCAACAATGGCTGAGGCTACGCTATTCCTTTTCTCTCGTATGTTAGAGTCACTCGTTAGTCGGTAATTAAAATTTTTTACATTATTTTGACAATTTATTTGGCCATACCGCGAACTAATCTCATGTGTTGGCTCGTCAGAAAAGCATTCATCGTAATCCATTTCATCAGCCCACTTGAGTTTGCAAGGAAGCGTTTTGTAATTCATTTGTCCAACGGGCTTTTTCTGCGCATTGTCCAGATCATGAACAAATTGGTCGTTGTAGCTCAAACGAACGTCATCCAAGTTCGAGTCAAGTGAACGTCTAGCTAAACTAAGACTTGATAACTTTGCTCGCGGAAGCATCAGTGAGGTGTCTAATGATCGCCTTCTTTTTTCTAAGCCAGACTGAGAATTTTTTCGCAAACTTTCATTTTCCTCGGCTTGTTTCGGAGAAGTCCATTGAGATGTCTTCCCTGTCCCCTTTTTCGGCGAAATTTTAGGGCGGATTGCGGATGAAAATTTGCTTCGATGTTTATTTCTCAACATTAAAATTTTTTTCTCATCAAATGATGGATCTTCAGCATAAACGGAGTTGTAATTAACGTCAGTTATATGATTATTATTATTATTATAACCATCAACACAGTAATTCTCAATCTGTGCATCATCGAATTCAAAAGGCGGAGTGATAGGACGATAAAAATCATAGCATTGATCGCTAGCGTCCGGATGAAATTCGCAAAATTCCTCGTCAGTGAAATTTTCGACACATGACCGTGGGGTTTCTTTCAATATTGAGTTGACCTTTGACTCCAATATCATCAATGACGAAGGCATAATATTTTTCTGTGAATTGACAAGTCCAGGAGATCCAGGTAATCCCCGCATAGCAAAAGCTTTTCTACGTGTTAAGCTGATCGGTTTTTCCTGGATATCATTGCACTTCACCTTATTTCGAGGCAGCGATAGAAACTTTGCCGTAACATTGCGGACATCGGTATAAGAGTGACCATTACGAACATAGTTTTGAGAGTAACCATTGATATCTTCTCCGAATTCCAAGAGTGGATTGAAGCTTACTCGACGCTCGCTGTTTTTCTCTAAAGATTCGGCGCGACCAATTCTCGCGTTACTTAACGGAGTTGAAGTCAACTTCAAGTTATTCGTCACAGAAAGACTCGGTTGCTTTTCTGAGTGTACATTGTGTACAAACTGAGGGGAAGTGTTTTCGTGCTCCAAAATGCTGGAAAGTCTCTGCCTTCGAGGAAGACTTCTCATATTTTGATGACTGGATTCGTCAAATACATTGAAACGCAAGGCTGAGATAGCTTCGCAACTTAGGCTCCTGATAAAAGCTTCGGAAGTTTTACTTTCTGGGGCTGCGAGGCAGTCATCTTGCGTTTCCGTTAGAGCTATGAAGGGAGTGAGAAACAAGAACCATTCATTATTCACAGACAAAGCAGAACACCGACACCAAAAAGAAATAGATTAAATGCATTTAATATTGAAAAATTCTCATGGTAAAAGTTAGTTATTTGAGTGTAAAAAAGAAAATTCCAAAAAATGCAAACCGTTAAGCATGATACGAAGCAGATGGAGACAAGCAAAAATTAGCGTCAAATGCAACACGCTCATAGGATAGGAACTTGAGAATGAAGCAGATGCAAGCTAATTTTCATGCAAAGATAAAAACAAGTAAATTTAAGACAAAAGTTCCAGTAGACCAAGTGACAGCATGAGAAAATATAAGAGAGCAAGACCAATATGAAAGCACTCTAATCCACTGAAAAATTATACAAAGAGATGCGTATAGGGAGGCGGAACTGTGCTCACCAGCCTATCCCAAGGCCAGCACATTACAGCAGGAAACTGGGTGATGAGATTGCATCATCTCGTAACCGTGTATACGAATGCATCAGTGGTAACATGCAGGGAAATCGCTCTTGCTGACAAGAATAGAACGTCCCCAATAAAGCGCAAAATACTAAATGCGTCCGATAATTGCAAGTGAATCCGTGCGTAAAAAAATCTAAAATAGCGTAAGAGACATAAGCGTTGGTAAGGCAGGTGTAGGACGGTGCAGGCATCAATTAAGTGGTGTGACTGTCTGATTCACACTGAACATCAACATCAGACCCTTGGCTAATCTGTCGCGGATATTTGCTACACATGCGGCTAAGCATCACGAGACATCAGCCATTTATCGTGCGAGTCCGCTGCATTGATGCACAATGTGAAGCGACCGTAAGACTGTGCATAGTGCATACAGTACTCGAGTTACCGCGAGTATTGTTGTTGGTGTGGTGGTGGGGACGTTCGAGGCTCCGGGAAACTCCCCTTAACAGCCCCAAAATCCCACCCTCCCCACCCAGTTTCTCCCCCTTGCAGCTGGAACCCCGTTTGTAGAAGCTGATCCCCGGATCGGATGACTTAGGGGCAATTTTCTCGACTTTCTCGGAGGGTGCAGGCGTCGGCCGAACGTAGCTCTTGGCGCTACCACGGAGCGTCCGAGCGTCCGGGACCGCAGCTTCTGAATTATTCACCGGATTTATCTTCACCGAAGATGCATTCGGCTCGCAACTGTCGATGACCGTCCTCATGGTTGTTGATTCAAAACAAGTGGGGGTGTCATTTTTCGTTGAAACCCCCATTTTAGTTCCGTTTGAAGCCATTTTTGGGATGGTAACCGGAATTTTTGTCAAAGCGGTTTGGGTTTCAGAATTTTTACCGCCGGGTGCGGTAGCCGTTGCAGGTCGAGTGCCACCTTGCTTGCGAGGGGACCGAGGGAGAGTAAGGGTTGTCTTGCTCGGGGATGAAGAGGAGACAAGGGGACTCACTCCGATCCTTCTGACGTACCCAGGGAGAGAATGGTGCGGGGAGAAACGACGTGGGGGAGGAGGTGGGGAGGATGGGGAACGGGGCAATACTGAGCTTTCTGGCCGAGGAGGGAGGTCTGCCACACCTGTGACAGCCCACCAATTACAATCCACCATATCTTGAAGACAAATTTAGCCCAATTGTGAAGAGTTACTAAGGACTAAGGATGCTTAGTTCGTATCAGCAATTTAATGCGCACATTTACGTACAACTGGCAACTAAATTAAAAAGGGTTAAGCTGAGACTTCTAGCAAGAACTGCATTTTTATCAAAATAAGCCGGGACACCAGCCTGTAATATTTCGGCGCCAATATGAACAAGTGTTAGTAACAGGTTAAGATTTCTACAACTAAATCAGTGGCTACAACCAAAGCTGTTATGGTAATCGCGCTAACTATGAAAAATACCCAGAAGGTAAGAGAATACAGATATACATTAAGTTATGCCTAACTTTGCAATGGGTTCAATTAAGGCACATATTTCCATAAGGAATGTAGCCGGCTTAGGGTTGTTCAGGTTAGGTTTGATCTATAAAATGGTGAGAGCAGCCGTTCTCCCGACTATGTGTAGGCATAATAAAAAATTGTTGTGCATGTGTTCGGGATGATATTACTTCGGTTCACTTCACTGTAATCTTCAGGATTTTATGTTGCAATCTATTCAATAGTAGATTGTAATTAGGAATTAGTTAAACGTCGTCAGTCACATCGCGACATGTGACTGATTAATTTTAAACGTTAGCACTAAAGTTTAGCTATAGTGTTGGATTAGCGCACAATAGTGCCAAAGACTGAGCTAAAGTTAGATCCCGTAATGTCAACTTCAAAGCGGTCGGTGTCATGAGCTACACGCACATGACACCAACACAAATACAGTATACGTCAAATGTCTACGCGTATTATAAATAAAGCAATAAAGAATGAAGACGGCATGTTTGCAATGGTTAATAATACCATAATAAAAAGTAGTTCAAAAAGCGGATAATACATTCAGGTAAGATTTTTACCAATACTACAAAGTTTGAATAGTAACAGCAATTGATATATGGCTGCAATTTCTTAGCAAATCTTGTTGAATATGGAGTTATCTCTCATTAAAAGTAATCTAATATCATGAGCATTCTTAAATAATGAAGCCAAGACCTTAACTGCTTGTATGCATTCTTAATGGATAAATAATTCATTAATAAAAAACCGCACATAATAATAAATACTGTGCCTTTACCGTTCAGAAATACTTTAATATAAATCTTAAAAAACATTGGGCAGTGATTTTAATGAGAAATGCTAGGGAAGTCTCACCGGCTGGATTATGTGCCTGTTCCGTAGATTGCTTTTGCTTCTCTCGCTCCTCCCTGAAAACGTATAAACAAAATTTGTATAAGCTTTTGAAAACTAATAATATCGATCTACTTTTGACTTGGCTGCCAATATATCTAAACTCTTGAGATTAATATCCACTGGAGTGCACAAAAAATTTAACGACGTGAGAAAAAACAGCATACCGCAGTAGTAACGGAATACGACAGAAAAATTAAGGCTAATGTCTGCACTTTTTTTTAATGTTAACTTAATGCTTTGATGTAACAGGCTAAGGTTACGCTTTACAATGAAGTTACGTGTAGAAGAAGTTACGTGTACGAAGTTACGTGGACAAGAAGAAGAAGTTAAGCGTACCTGAGTTTCTTGTTCCTCTGGTAAGTGTCGGTGTTCTTAGCGTCGAGGGAGGCGTGTCGTTTCTCTGACATGCTTTGTCGCCCGAACTGATCGCGGGAGAACCCTCCGCCCGCACCCTCCAGTGACGTCCTGTGGTGGCGAGGATTAATAGTGACACTGCCGTCATTATGGTGACACTGCATTGATGTCTTGGCAACAACACTGTACTCGTTGAAGTGCAACACTGCGAATATTGCTTCGCAACACAACTAAAATTTTCATTTCATTTCAAATCGATACCGCAAACCTCGTAAATGACTCAGAAGGGACGATTTTATCACATTATTGAAGACATCACAGGCGACTTGGTCGAATAAGCAGTATTAGCATGGCTAATGCTAGGTTTAAATAGGGATAGAAGCTCAGGTTTTAGAAATCAAGACGAATATCCAGCAGGTGTATTTATAAGTTCAGTAAAGAATTCGCAGAACTCCAGCAAAGATATTTTAAAAAACGAAAGGATGTTTCAAAGTACCAGCAAAGATATTTCACTAGATCTACAGCACTCACTGGCTATTATATGTGTCATCCAGACACGCCCCGCGACCGTCCAGCGCTGTGCTCCTGCAGGGACACAATTACGATGTTTAGGCAAGCCGTGTAATACTAGAGAATGTAATAATAAAATAAATATAAAAAATATTAACAAGAGTAAGCATCAAATCAAATTAATTAACTAGCCAAGAAATATCGATGGAAATGTACAAAATGTATTGATTATGCCAACTCAAGTACTGCGGTAGATCCTACAGAGAGGTTAGTTACGTAACGTTGAAAGAATGCGCGAGTAATATTCTTAGATTGTGGAGTAGAGCAATTGACACCCACTACAGCTGTAGTGGGTCACTACAGCTGTTTTTCCTGCTGAACTTTTTGAGAAACTTCCCGCATTAACTACGGAAGAACACAGCAACTCAATAATATTTGTAGATGCCACAACAAATGATGGCCGATGACGTAAAATAAATCAAATTTTAGATTAAAAAGCAAAGAGTAAACTTTTTTATGTAAATAAAAAAGATGAGTACACCGAAAATTGGAATATTTCAGCGCAGCGTCTCAAGGTGAGCGTGGCGACATGGAGTTACTCACCCAAGGGACGGGTGATACTCATCCTGGATGAGGAGCGTGTCCCGCTGGGGGAGGTTGATGGTGGGGGAGCCTAGAGAGGAGGACGCTGGGGCCGCCCCGCCCTCCACACACGCCTCCCGTCCTTCCCCAGCAGCGGGGGAGGGCATCGCGGCCCCCAGCTCGCTGTTGTTCCATGTGTCGTGGGTGGCCTGGGGGAGGGGGGAGGGGGGTGGTGGTGAGGGGAGGGTGGTTGATTATGTCGGATTGATAATGAGCATGAAATACCCTACACAATACATATCACCGACTCAAGTGACAACATAAAGCCAGTAAGTGACTAGTTCACTAGTAACATATACGAGGCTACACCACAGCACCGTGCACCACAGCACCTAGCACAGCATTACCTGGTAGTAACTGTCGTTGCGCAGTGCTGCGGTGTTGCCAGTGATGCGGTGCAACACAGGGTTGTGCAGTACAGAGCTCAGCGGGTCACCGCCTACAGGCGTCGAGCTCTGCAACAATAACACAATTACAAGCAATTCTCGATAACGATTCTATACTAATTATAAAAATATATAAGGAAATAGTTATTAAGAACAACATAAATATCAACAGTATATCATATTAGGGCAGTCAAAGCGAAATTATCACGAAGTTATTAAAGCTTACATGGAGCGCTGATAAGGTTGTCACTGAAATAATTCTATCAATACAAACTTCCCACCTCAGCCATGATATATATTAATAATTCTCAGATAGATAAATAGAGCAAACATGATGTAGATAGTTCCATTCTCGTTGCATATGAGACGCATGGTAAGGTAGGTATAGTTATTATTTCAATAGCGCAACATGAAGCAGCAACATGAACACGCTGCAACATGACCAACAAACACACGCTGCAACATGACCAACACGCTACAACAACATGACCAACACGCTGCAACATGACCAACACGCTGCAACATGACCAACACGCTGCAACATGACCAACACGCTGCAACATGACCAACACGCTGCAACATGACCAACACGCTGCAACATGACCAACACGCTGCAGCATGACCAACACGCTGCAGCATGACCAACACGCTACTAAAGACACTGACGGCGGCAGCGAGGCGGGGGGCGGTGTAGTCAGTAGAGTATCCCTCGTAGGGCGTGGGTGTGGTGGGCGCCGTACGCGCTCCCCCACAGAGATACCCGAGGGTGTCGTTGCTGTTGGCAGAGTCTCGGCCTGATCGCGGCAGGCTGTTGCTGTTATTATTGTTGTTGTAGATGCTGTTGTTGAGGGTAGCTTGGTCGCTGGGGTTGCCGGCCTGACTGCCGGGGATGCGGCGAGCGATCATCAGGGTGATGATGCCTGGTATGGGGCCCTGTACGCAATGAACGGAGTCAGATGCATGAGGTCGCAGTTGTTTCGGTTCTAATAAATTGCATGTTTTTGTTCTATTTGGGGGGAAGAATAAGTTAAACCAGAGGCGACAGGAAACGTACAGCGAAGTAAACATTCATACGCGTCCAACACCAAGAACAAGCGGTATAATCAGATACGCTCAAGTGAGGCTTTGAGCGCGTTGAGCATGGAAGTTCAGATAAGTAGAATCTAGGAGGGGTATAATAGCAGATTTAAAATCTCTTGACTATTCGAAGTTTTACAAAGCATTTCAATAACGTCTGACCATTGAGAAAAGGAGAATAAAATGACTAGAGCTTTCTTAAAGAAAATAAAATAAAAAGACGATATACATAGTTGAAGAATAGTCAACGAACAGACAAATGGTTGAAGACGAAGTTGCAGGGTGCATAGCGAGGACGAGAAACGATCGCCTGTTACTGTCTTCTAAGCACAGCGATCCCTTAAGCTAAAATACAAACAATAATAAGCGATATAACAACTAACCTCCTGATGCATGGCGATCCTAAGCGTGGTCATAGCCTCAGAGTTAGGCTTGCCGAGGAGCGAGAGTCCGTTGATGTTGATGAGCTGATCGTTCTCCATGAGCCTGCCGTCGCGGGACGCAGCGCCGCCGCAGATGACGTTCTTCACGAAGATGCCGAGGTCTACGGGACCGTTGCTGCCCTGGCTGCTCGTCTTGCCCTTCACGCTTACTCCTGCCAGGGGCGTGTTAAATATGAGGGGAGTGATGCTGGTGTGTTGGTAGTGCGTGATGCTGGTGTGTTGGTAGTGCGTGATGCTGGTGTGTTGGTAGTGTGTGTGGTGCTGTGTTGGTAGTGTGTGATGCTGGTTTGTTGGTAGTGTGTGATGCTGCTGTGTTGGTAGGAACGCTACGTAACGCTGTTGTGTAGATAAAAACGTTGTGTGGCGCTGCAGTTGTTACCAAAAATATATTGTAGAGATGGAAATGTCGCTCAGTGCTCAGAAACAAGCGACAAAATCGGACGAATGCGTGCGAGGTTTGACCGGACACAAGTCGGGCATGAGAAACGTCGGAATAAACTCTGATCAATAAGTGAAAACAATAAACTCTTCAACATCTCAACAACATAGGTGAAGGGAAGCAATAGATCGGCGCGTTATTAGAAACAGGGAGAGGCTTTAATTGGTGTGGTGGAGTAAGAGTGCGGCAATCAAATTAATAAGAGAAGCGTGATATTAAATTATAACACGAGCAGAGCAGCGAAATAGATGCATTAGTGCGGCCGCTAAGTGGCCTTATGAAAAGTCAGCTGAATGATAATGAGAGTAGCCAGCTATTTTGCAGTAAGGCAGACCAGCCATCTGGTAGTAAGGCAGACCATCTGACTGGCAGTAAGGCAAACCATCTGTCTGGTAGTAAGGTAGACCAGCTGTCTGGTATTACGGCAGATCAACAATGACTTGGGACATATTTAGACCCACAAGGGAAGGTACTAACCTAGACCAGCTCGCTCGGAGTCATGCACGGGGATGTGGAAGGTGATGAGCTCGCGCTGCTTCCAGGGGAACATCAGGCTGTCCTCCCAGGACTTCTCAACGCCCTGCACAGCGCACAGGCGAGACTTCAATAAATAACTTCGTTGGCGAGCGCATGAAGGGGGACGTTGACTTATCAAATATTGTGAAGGTCGTCATGGGACCTTGGATTTACATCTGTGCATTTGGAAAATGAAGAATTTTCCATTCGTTTTCATTTAGGGATATATTTGATTCTTACACAATTCGTTCGATATTTCGACTGGTTTAAGAAACTCCTAAGGTACCCATTTCACCGAAAGGGGATTGATTTATCAAGTATCAAACTGAAAAATGCATTTATAAATTTTGGTCACAATTTAAAGACTCCTATGGCATTTGATTCACATCTTCGTCGTTCGCAGCGATATCAAGCTAAATGCTTGCTTGCATCTCACATATTCTAATTTTAACCTATCACAGAGTAATTCTCATTTTGGGCATCGCGCTTTAATCGATGCTAAACATTTCGAGATAAATAAAGATATATGCAATTACCACAACATCTTTTACCTTTGCAAATTAACACATTCAACGTTTTTATATCGGCATGCAAAACCTAGATGAAGATTATGGCAATACAATCGAAAGTTCGAAAAAAATTCTAGTTCTAAAAACGCCTTCCTCGTTTTAGTTTTTAAGACATCATTTCAAATCTAGTTTTAAGACATTCTAGTTCTAAAAATCTATTCTAATCATAGTTCTGCAAAAGTTCTATTTCTAAAAACGCCCTTCTCATTTTAGTTTTTAAGACATCATTCCAGATCTAGCTTTAAGAACGCCATTCTAGTTCTAAAAAGCGATTCTACTCATAGTTCTGCAAAAGTTCTAGTTCTAAAAACGCCCTTCTCATTTTAGTTTTTAGGACATCATTCCAGATATTGTTCTAAGAACGCCATTCTTGTTCCAAAATTCTGTTCTAATCCCGTTTCTACCAAAGTTCTAGTTCATCGAAGGCCAGACTCACGATGGGCCGCGGTAGCTGCGGGCTGGGCGGGTGATCGTCCCTCAGTCTATCCTTAACGTCCCCAGCCTTCGGTCCCTCAGTGACGTCGGCCCCGGGGGCGGTGGAAGAAGCGTTAGTTTCGACGCCGCGTTCCTGACGGGACACTTCCAGCACAGCGCGTCCCCCCACAGGGATCTTCCTGAGCATGTTAGCCACTTCGGTCTGGCTGAGACCTGTCACCTCCTTACCGTTCACCGACACAAGCTTGTCACCGATACGCAGAGTGCCTTCTTCAATGGCCGCGCCCTGGCACAACAATGAACTTCAGTACGAAAATACAAATGATGGCAAGGCAGTAAGATGGAAATGTTTAAATAGAATGCGGTCAATACTTAGCTACCGTCAATACTCTATCACTAAGTTTTGTTGCGGTTGAAACTTTGACTTGTTCGAATATTCCCATGCACATTCCAGGGTAACGGTAGGTTCCTAGTTGGTAGATTAACAGGCACTAGTTTAATCTCTTAAAAGAAATTATTCTACATCAATGGAACAATAACAAGTTACAATTTTTTTGTACATGAGAAATAAATACAAAATATAGGATCCCAGCGACATTTAGCCATGGACTGAGGTAGACGCATGATCGAAGGAGCTAAGCGTCTCTTGCGCAAAACACATCCTGATTCAATTAAAATTAGACTTGCAGCAATTTATACCATAACAATTATAAAAAATGAGACAAATAAAGGCACAAAGTTTGTAGAATTAAATGGAGTTTACGTCACCTGAGGCAGGACGCTCTTGATGTAGATAGGTGCATGTCCGCGAGCGGGGTTGTCGCGTGTAGTGATGGAGAAGCCGAGTCCATGTTGTCCCTTGGTGAGGCAGAGCGAGATGAGGCGGCCGGGTCTACGTGACCCACTTGCCAGCATCACCGTCTGCGTGCGGGCCGACAGCGACGGCGCTGTAGCGCCCTTACCGCCGGCCATGCCTGCTACAGGAGGAGCTCAACATAAGATGGTACGCACGGCAGTGACCGACATAGGAATATGATTCGACGAATATTGTTCGACGAATATTGTTCGACGAATATTGTCCTACAATATTCCTACATTGTTTTACAATATTCCTACATTATCCTACAATATTCCTATTGTAGGAATATTGTTCGACGAATATTAGACAACTCACAGTGAACGCATTTTCCAGGCTTCAATCGTCAAAAAGTAACCCGTATTTTCCCTCACTAGCGCGGATATAAGAATATATGAATAAATAGGTGGATAAAAACTTTTGAGAATCATGTACTCATTAGCAAGATTTAGGCATGTTATAATACAGTACCAGGTGTGGCGGGGGCTCTGCTGTTCGTGCGGTTCTTGGCGACCAGCAGACGAAGGGCAGGAGCTTGCATGGCGTCTTTGAAGATCTCTTGCGCCCTGAAATGCACCGAACAATTAATGGTTCAAATAAATCACTAAAGGCGGTGTAGAGGCACTTTTTTATACAGTAACTCAAGACTGCCTTGCACATTTTTGGTAATGGCTGTCATGCAGGGAACAATTAATGGTTCAAATAAATCACTCGAGGCGGTGTATAGGTGCAAACTTCATCAGGTGATTTTAGCGATGGCGATGCTGAGACAATCGCCTCAACGGTATATTGAGTTACAACACATGCATAAAAACCATGGCATCAACAGTATTATGGATCATAAAGTTGATAGCAAAGACGGCATTCATAGTTCAGAGAGGAATTGCAACAATAGTCCTGGCCAGCAGAGCTGTTGGACGAGTTGACTCACTGATGGAATGTGGTGTTGAGTAGCGAGTGTCCGTTGATATCAACAATTCTGTCGTGGACTTGAATACGTCCGTCCTGAGCAACCCTCCCTCCCTCCTCAACCCCCTCCACCAGCAGCCCCCCGCTGCCCTCCTCCCCACCACGCCCCATGGCCGGGGAGGGGATCACGTGGATGCCAAGAGGCCCACACCCGTTGTTCAGCACCACCAAGATTCTGCGCGCGCGTGGCAACAAGAGTTAACACTAAATTACCTATATACACGACAGTGATTTGGTCAGAAAAAAGCAACTGAAGGTCTATTTAAGTTTTTTTCATTGAGTTAGTGAACATTGTTGAATATTATGAAATGAAATAATCTATGATATTTTAGTTTTGTAGAATATTTGAGCAGCGATATATTTATACATGCCAGTGATTAGGTCAGATAAAAAGCAAATGAAGTTCTATTTATTTAAGTTCCTTCACAAAATTAGTTAACATTGATGAATATTATGAAATGAAATAATCTATGAAATTTTAGTTTTGTAGAATATTAGAGCAGAGATATACTATAAGAAATACTTCAGACGTGGCATCAATGAAACACGTTCAAGCCAATGCATAATTTCACAAATAATTTGTGAATATAGATATGAAGTCGAATTTAATTTTTCTCGTACAAAAATGAAAAATGTCAGAGCAAACCAGCAATGAATGAATCATTATGAACGATTCCAGAGATAATTCACTTGAGTGAAAACGCTTCAGGAACTCTCACCTTTCTTCCGCGAGTGATCTGCCGTCGGCGCTGGAGTGGCTTGCGTACGAGGCAGAATTTTGTGACCGGGCAAATGTTTGCGACGTTTCCCGCTGGCTGCGTTGGTTTTGGTTGATGTGGGGGCGAGTATCGAGGCAATAAGAGTCAAGGGAGGACGAGCGTTCATGGTGAGGTTGTGTTCTCCCAACATCGGCTACCTGTTCTGTTTGGTTGCGTGACCGCGTCGAGTGACTGCTGCTAACGTCTTTCTTCTTGTCGTAAGTTGCAGACAAATGGTTCTTCTGGTAATTAGACGAAGATTGGTCGAAATTTGAAGGTAATATGTCGTAATTATGAGATGTGTTATTATAAGCGGACGGGATGGAATCATGAGGGGAGAATGCGGTGCCGTTTCTATCGTATGAAGTAGCGTTGCTTTTCTTATCATAAGATGTAGGACTTTCGTAGAAGCCACTGTGGTCGGCAGTCTCCTGGTAATTACGAGTATCTAGGGAGGCTTGCCGGCTGTGGTGGGGACTGGTGGCCGCTCCCCCGACGGGATCCCGACGACGCATTTCATTGTAGCTCATCCCCGACCCGCCGACGCGCTCTGCAGCGTCCGCCCAGCGGGACATGGTCGGGTTGTCGGACAGCACCTACACGCCCATCGTGATAGAAATATCAGTCATTATTAACCTTTGTAATATCATACTTTACAGATCAAAGTGCAAAAATAAAGCATCATCACGACCAATAAGGCGCAATTAAATGCAATGCAAATCTCACATGTAGGAACGATTCTAGCTTGCTTATATTTTCGCTCTCATTGATAGGCATAACTTGAACGGCGGCCGTCTTAGTCTCATTGGCCAGGTCTTCTTACGGCACCACCAACGATATCACAATTACACTTGATGTCGTGCAAACACTTCGCTTATTTAGGTTTTAGCGCATAGTAGTGATCTAGTCAGTGATGTGAGACCTCGATCTTTCGCAAGACCCAGCTCCATGCCAAGACTCGGCTCTATCTCAACCACTATGCCGAGACCACTTCCTCCGTCAAGACCCCGCTATCTTGCAAGATCCTGCTATATTGCAAGGCCCCGCTTTGTTCTAAGACACTATTCTAAGGTCCCGTTCTCCAGTAAGACCCCGTTTAGCAAGAACCCACAGTGTTGCCAGCCCTGACTCTGCTCCAAGACCACGCGCTATCCCAAGAAAAAAGCTGTTTCAAACTCCCTTCTCCCTAAAACATGCAAGCCAAATCGGAAGGGCAATTATCCATGTTTATTGTTTCTGCCGTGAAGTGATCATGCACTATAAATGTCATGATCAAGTCGTAGGTATAGTATTGGCCTCACCTGCACAGAACATCTATTGCCATCCCTGGCGAAGCGGGAGAAGGCGGCGTTGGTGGCCGAGTGATGAGACGAGGCTGACGACGAGGCTGACGAGGAAGGCTTCTTCTCTTCCCCAGACCCCTCACCTCGCTCCTCACCAGGGAACAGGAACTCTCGACTATGGGGATTCGTAGGGTCCGGGTCCTACAAACAGTCAGGGATACATAAGCAGGGTATTGCAAATAAATAAGCAGGGTATTGCAGTTGAATGCGGGCTGTTGTATACCGAAGTCCATTGCTTAAACATTCACTAATGTAAGCCCTGTAAATACAAGATAGGACGTGTTCTATCGTACATTAAGCTAAGCCTCGTCTTCACCAACGAGCCGGTCTGTTGTGAACCTGCCTAGCATAAACTTGCTTTCTCTGCATGCCCTGGTCTCTGCTTTTACTACGAGTGTTATACGGAATTTAGTCCAAGCGTAGTAATCGAGAATATTACGCGGGCTGTGTGCGTTTCTAGGTCACTCTAATATTTCATTTTATTCTCTTTCTTTCGCTTATAATTTTTATTTTCTCAACCTGACAATCATTTTATTCTTAATCTCGGTCTAAAATCCGATGCCAAATGAAACTAATACCGGTACTTGCATTTCCTCAACATACATCGACACGAACGACGAGAAGCTAGTTCAGATGAAACTCAACACCTCATTATGAATTCAATTCAATTCAAATTCCTCTAGTTAACATAGAATCAGCTTCCTCTGCAAACTTCGTGCATATTTAATGCACAAACGGGATATGGATTAATACCGAGGAAACGTGTCTAAAATAAAAGCTAATGCGAGACATGAAAAACAAACGTCTGGCAATCTTTATCTTCATTTTACTCTTTCTTTTAATTAATTTCTTGAGATCGGAATTGAAACTCGCGCCAGGACTGCTTCTCGCAGCGTCAATTTTGTTTTCGAGAAAATTTCCAAAAACTCCGATATACTCATTATCGCATCAGCTAAATTTCCTTGCTATAGCACAGTTTCCATAAAAATAACATCAAATAGAGCCTAAAGAAGTAGGTAACTAATATAAAGATAATAAAGGAACGAGTTATTTAGTCCTGAAGGATTACCTTAAGCGGTGTGGAACTTGGCGGGGTGACGACATCGTCGTCAATAATTACTGGTGCCGCCGACCACCGCTTGTTGGGAACGGTGAACGTCCTGGGCCCACCGCCCCCCACTGCGGACTGTGGCACGCCGGAGGGGGCGGACTCGCCCCCCAGAGGGTCTAAAGATATTGGGGATATTCTGTTGAGTGTTGGTTCGCTGCCTCTCCTCACGTGCAGGGGAGGTGGTGTGTTGTTCAGCTCATCCCCCGTCACCTCGATGTCCGTGGTGTTCAGGCCCCCGCCATACTCACTGCCAATCTGTTAGTGTGCGTCGATAAACAAAATTATGTAAAGTTAATTATTGGGATGCTTCCATTGATGGTCGTAGGTAATTACAAGACACTATAGTTGATACACAAAAAAGGATAGGGGTTTGGAGTACAACAGCTGATTTAGCAATAAGCATCATCGGACCTAAATAAAGTGAAGCAAGATTCGGTGCTGACTGACGTAAACGAATTATATATTGGACAAGAATAAAGTAGTGTAGTATTGGAGCTAAATTAAGTAAAAGGAGCATTGAAGCTGAATGAAGTATTGGACCTAAATGATGTATTGAAGCTGAATGAAGTATTGGACCTAAATGAAGTATTGAAGCTGAATGAAGTATTGGACCTAAATGAAGTATTGAAGCTGAATGAAGCAAAGTTGACCTGGAAAATATCGGGCGTGTGGCTCCTGGAAGGCAGGGTTGTCGGGGCGTCAGTGCGAGGAGGTACGCCAGGGGAGTCGGGGCCGGTAGCCCCCTTGTGTGGGGGATGTTCTGTGTAGACGGCGATGATCTGGTCTCTGTCGTCGACCACGTCACACAGACGGTCGTCGGGGTCTAGGATGCCTCCGTCCAACTGACGAAGGTTTGCGATCGTCACCCAGTTGCCCGTCGTCTGCACACCCAAGATATTTATTGTAAATATTTTGCGTACAAAATGAAATTGAAAGGAAAGAAATAAGAATGGTGCATGTCCGTTCAGCGGGATAAAATTTTCGCTGCTAAAAATTTAAAACGGATATGATGGAGGAACTGCACTGATTCGTTCACAGATATAGAATAAACAGTGAGAATATCAAGAAAATAATCACGAAGGGTCAAAATACTTCCGGTTTCGTCGTTGAGACGATCAAGGGTTCTCGGCTGAACATACGGCTCCGAACAATGGGCTAGAAACACTAGCACTGAACCGGCACAAATTCTTACCGGTTTTAACGCCGCTAATAAGCAGTGGCAGCAGTCAAGTGCTGCATGCACAGAGTTCTCCGCCCACACGTAATTTCATGCTATGCGTATTAGAATAGTTGTTAAAGACTTAAATATTGAACATAATAAACAAGATTTAAACATTTAATCAAACTACTCTAATTTGAATGCCTATTTTCGCTTAATTTTGTCAAGTTCTGAATGTAGAGCTAACTTCTCCGGAAGCCTCAGACATCGATGCAAAAAACATCCATCCTTAGATCGCAAATATTAATTGAATGGTGGTCTAGTTTGCATCCATCTTGAAATTGATAATATTAATTAATAAATGTTAAAAATTCAACTGATAACATAGATAAAATTATTGGCACCATTTGCGATGCGTTGATCATAATACCTGGGAGAAGTTGGCCGGGAGGGACATGCCTTTTTCTTTACGTTGCAAGTTGTAAGTCTGGGAGCGGCTACGGCAAAAAATCCTTGTAAGTTTGTTAGCGACGCCTACGACGTCCGAATACTGAACCTTCAGACTCTGGCAGCTTCCATCACAGCTGCCTTTCTTGCTCTTCAGAGTCGACGTTTTGTATTTGACGTCTTCGGATCCGAGTTTTGCTTCTTCCTTGAATATTTTATCTTTTGATCCGAAAATACTGTCTTTAGAAGTAAAAATTTTATCCTTTGACCCAAAGATTCTTTCCTTGGAGAAAAACAGCTTTTCTTTGGAGGCAGACAGTCGAGAAGAGAGGGAACCGCGCCTGTCTTTGGTAGACTGGCGTCGTGTGGAATTGGCAACATCGGTTTCGGGTTGTACGACCTTCCCATTTATGGTCATCTGAACATGAGCATTCGATGAGTTCTTTTCCTTTATAAGTCCGGGAACACCTTCGTTGCCGTCAACAGGTACCACCAAAACAGCTCCAGTTCCACCGTCGAAGTCTTTGGCCTCGTACCCGCTGTCTCCTGAATCATCTCGACTGGAGCTTGAAATACTATCGCAGCTCACAGGAACTCCATCGTCATCGGAAATGCAAGTCTTTGACACAAACTTTGTGTCTTTTTCTGCAACGGCTTCAGGAGACGAGACAGACTTCCTGGCAATGGATTTCACGACTGGACGACCATTGACAGTAACGCCGTTCATGTTGTCTTCGGCGTTGGTCTCAATATTGACGACGTCTTCTCGGACATCAAGAACGTCTTCGTCCACATCGGTAACATCTCCCTCCTCCTCAAGTTTGTTCAAAATTATACATGACTTCTGCCGACCACTGCTGCTGAAAGCTTTGTTCCTGAAATTTTGTTCACTAATTTTGCTCGTATTATTGTTATTGTTGTTGAGGGTAACGACACATTTAGTTTTGAGTTGTGGCACATGAGACGCTATGGTGAAGCTTTGCTCGCGCATCGTAATCACCCTGGTCAAATAATATGTGTAGTATCTTCTTATACCGGCCGCGTACAGGGAGCAAGCTAGTAAGTGACCACCTCAAGGATTACTCACAAAATGGGACGTTGAATTATCTACAGCCTACATTAGCTGAAGAGATGAAGGCCGGTTAAAACGTAGTAGCATCGAAAATATTTCTTGGATGGAATTATTAATAAACTTAAAATGCACCAAATAAAAAAATTCTATTCAAGACGAGCGGCTAGGAAACTTGAAGCAAGCGGAAGCCAATCATCGCTGAGCCAACGACGCAGAACAAAACAATACTAAGCATCCATGTTATGTTTTGCAAATAAATCGCAAAGCCGATTTCGTTCATAATATAAGAGTTTAAAGAGCATATATTTTTAAAACATTAAATATTTTATCAGCAAAAATACAAATACGGGCATAAACCTAAATTATTTTTTAATACCTCGCAGCACATTTAGGAAATAATTTTTGAAGTAGTTTCTTAGGTTTTTGTCATTGTTAAACAGGTAAGTATAGGTAGGATTTTAGGCACCGCCTAACAGTGAATGATGCATGGCACAGTGGTGAGTATGGCATGTGAAAAATGCAGCTGCTGATGATAATCACCTGCAGCAATTGCATAAGAAACTTGGGGCACGCCGCGCAGCATGCGTTTCGCTGGTATGAGACGCGGAGCATGAAACTTAGAGATTAAGACGTGAGCAATCATTTCGCACGTGAAACGGTGCACACATCTAAACATATTAAAAAAATTAAAGAACTATAAACAACGCGAAAAAAACTTAGCTAGACAAACATTGAAAGCGATAAAACCTAAATTAGCACACGAGTTTGATTGTTACTAATAATCAGATTTCATATTGTTAATAAAAACTGTTTATGTTATATAAACAATCGGTGGGGTTGTGCGCGATAATACAAATTCCAGAACATACTATAATAATTGCATTAGTAACTGACAGGGGCGCCGGGGCCACAACAAAGCTCGTCGCATGGGAGGCATGAGAAAGAAATAACGCTCGCCTGCCACCCATGGGACAAGCACAATAACCAAGCTAATAACGAGGTTGCAAACACGCCAACTACTGGAATGTTGCAGCATTGTTGCAAGGGTTGTACTAAGTGCTCTCAACAATGAAGTGGGACGACAATTGGACTGCAACCACAACACCCCCTAGCGGGGCGGCGTCCTGCCATGTCAATAAGACTGCCTTCAACCGAGCGGTATTGTTCCTAGTCAATATTGTTTAGATTGAAACATCACAAGCTCACATAAATTGACTTTGCAAACACAACGGTAGTATAACATTGCACGATTTTCACTCGAACACGGATAAACCTAATCTATGGTCTGTTTATGATCTGTGATTAAATTTAGGATCATTAAAAACACTGAAAAAAAATTTTTAACAAACATTCCAGAAATTTTTTATGATCAGCGAACCGGCTCTTGAGACGAAGCTCAAACGGCTTGCATCATATTTTTATTTCTTAAATATTGTGGGACTATAAGTGGGTGAACAAATGAAAAAATCTTAACGAATTTGACACAATTTTTAGAGACATATTTTCTTTTGAATTTCTAGCGTTCGTGTCGTTTTCCCACATGAACAAGCGGTGCAAAGATTTCGGATACAGACAGAGGGGAGAGAAATGAACTAAACAGGCGCCAACGATGGAATGGCAGGGTCGATACACATCAGCCGGTCAGTCAGTAATGGAAGATGGAAGTCAGGTAATTAAGTATATACTATTATTAGCTTGTCAGGAGTTGTGATGGTGAGACCAAATACTATAAGTTGCTGGGACTAAATACTTCCAAGATCACCAACGAATTTGCGAGATTTTTAATACTAATAAACTGAACAAGCCTAGAGGCCGTCATAAATTTGAACGAATATTTAATGCCGATGGTGAATGTTATGATAATAAATATGATTCAATGGTATGTTGTTAAGAGCACGACGAGGGCAGTTATTTACACTATGGGTGTAGAGGGACCATTTGATGTCTCGATACAGCATGCAAATGAGAAGCGAATACGTTGCAAGTCACCACCGATCGAACTTCAATTGAAGTCTAGATTCTGCACACTCCATGGTAAATATCCCGCACGAAGCTATATTTGCTTGACTCTAGTGTAAAAGTTGAGGACGTCTGTCGCTTCTGGAGCATCACCATCGCCAACACATGCATGGATGACATCACCACCACGAGCGGCAACAACTAACCTGTTGCTCCTCACATAAGATCGTTGACTTCTCAAGCAGTGAAGCAAAAGCGAACAAAAACTGCTTCTGTAAAATAAAGCCTCAACAGTAAAATCTGCAGTAGTGCGCGACTGTTGTAAAGCGTTCATGAAAACAGTACAATGTAGGCTCTTCGTGAAGCAACAACATCAGCATGCTTGATAAGAGTATGCGAAATAAAAAACATAGACGTGTATCAAGCACAATACAAGGATTCGGAGCCAAGAGCAAGCAACTGAGCAAAACAGAGAGGGACTTTGAAAAAAAAAAAACAAGACACAAGCAATTACTCGTCTTGTCTGGAATTTGAAGCAAGCGTGGGAGCCAACTTCAAACCCACCACATCAGCGAGACTTAAGATGCCAGCATCATTTCCAGGTACTCAAAATTAGACATAATTTTCATACCGCGCTCAGTATAAATTTTCTTGTCCTAAGAAAAGATTTCTAACCCACAAAACGACACAAGAAAGAAGTCACAGAAGACAATAAACTTGCTATACATTTTACTTAATAAACATTTCCCCTAAACTAAAGTACATTAGATATCAGCAGACTAGTCCGTACTCCGCAACATGAGCAAGTACGCGAAGAGGAGACGCAAGCTGCACGTAATGCGTAATTTAAATAAAATTGAAAACAATCAATAGAAAATTTATAGGAATCGGTGATCAGGCTTTCATTTGAGGCGACCGTCGACATGTTTATTATTATTTTGTGAGTGGTAATCATGTAAAGATGGTTAGAACAGCTCTCCAGTGCGGCTCAAGCGATTATTTTCATCAATAATTTCCCGTCTCAAAGTAGTAAAACAAATTCACGTGTCTAAAAGAATTTAAATGGAAGTAGAAACAGATGTTAAAATATCAGAGGACTGGGCAATCATCCGGTCCCACATCATAAGCCTGGTGATCGACATGCAGACGTAAGCCTACAATATACAATGTCAGTGTAACCCACGGCGATCTTAAGGCCTTCCCCGCATGCATGAAGCGACATATATACGGCAGACGATTTTGCCGCGTGTCTGCAAGAAACGGAGAAATTTCCACACAAGACACTGTTGCAGCAGACGCGCAGGGCGGAAACAGAGACGGCGCTCGCGAGAGAACCAGTTCGTGGGGAATGAATGTCTTGCTGTGCTTGCAGAGCTCCAGGAGGTCAATGCATGAGGTTAGAGACCTAGCACATCGGCCAGAATGTGGCGCGGCTGCAACATGCAAGTCAAAGATTAATTTTGGGCGTGATATAATGTAAAATGCCTGATATAATGTACCGAACTGTAGTGGCATTAGAGAATCTCAACATATTCATAATATAATAAACAATTTTTTTCACCTCATGCAAGACAGATGAAGTTCTCGAAACGCATGAGTAAAAAATCTGTCGTACAGAAGTTCCTCGCCCGCTTCTCAGACGTGAAACGAAGTTTAATGACCCTTAAACACGACGAGAAGGAAAGATTTCACCATTTTTGGCACAACATAACATTTTCTTTGAAACTGCCACAAGTACAAGCAAAGCGGAGAAACAAGCGCACGAACCGCCTGCCTGGTGCAACAACGATTAACATTCCTGCCATGCCATTAACAATCGGCGCGAAGCCACAAGAAAGCTGCTAACATTGCAGCACTTACGTGCAGCACAAAGCCAGACGAGCGCTGCAGTTCATGACAAACGAGTCTTCAAGTTCACGTCTGCGGCCACAGAGCAATTCAACGGGCAACTCAAACGAGGTAAACGCGTTCAGGCTTAAATGCTGCCTAACCTGTTTCCCTCAATGCAGCCCAGTATCCCGGGTCCTCCTAACTCCCAACCATTGGTATAATGAATGTCACTTCCACCTTTCCCTACCCTAAACGTTATTAAAAAAACATTGCGCCATTTTTCAAAGGCTTTAGTTCACATCCAACGTCGTGTTAAACTAAAGCGGAGCTTTAGGAGCTTCCTGTCAAGACTATTTTTCTTAGTAGAATACACTATAGAGTATAGACTAAACTAGATTTTATCAAGGGCCCCGGCTGGGATAGTCATGCATTATTTGTAGTAAAGATTTAATAATTTCAGTTAAGTTGCTACGTTAACATCCCTCAATATCAAGTGACACTGATAGAAATTCAACCAGATTTATAAAGCTTTAAATTAAACGGAAGTGAATGGATAGATTGATGGATTGGAAGTGCGGTGACAATCCTAACCGAACGCGTAGGGCAATGTAAATAATGACTGATGGGTAATGACGTAGCAAATATTATAATAACAAGGTATTAACTTGTGAAGCTATGCAATCGGAATCTGAACCCTGCTACTTGTTGAAGCATTAATTAAAGTTAGGATATGAGCGCAGCAGCGAAGTTCAGGGTCGATTCTGAACTTTGGTTGTGATGCGAGCTGCATTGTAAAGATGACCGCGATGTTCTCACGCGCACACGCAACTCTCACACAATATAGTGAGCAAAATAATA